GGTCTGTTCCCTATACAAGAATTGGCCTGGATTACAACCAGAGGAAGGCCATTTATACCCCCCTTCACATACACGGATTTTTTTTCTTATACGAGTCCTTACGGATCGCACATATTCACTGATCTTTCACGGATCCTTACGATTTGGCCACTTTTACGACAGATTTAAAAGCTGTTACTCGTAAACAGGTTAAGGGCTCGTAATAACTCGTAACAACCCGTAAAGCCATCGTTACACGACCCGAATAAAATTCTAAACAACACGTTAGTACTCACAGTAATTCGTAAATAAGAATTTGTTATTCTCTTTAAAATGGCAACTCACACATAGTAAAATTGTGGTTATGTTAAATGGTAATCTTCAAAACTGTTCAATATTACATACACTATTATCTTAGGCTATTTTGAAATATGGCTGCAACTGTTTTTCAGCAAAATATTTTTCAGGAATTCGACGTGGAATTTTTGCAGGGAGGTCTCCTGATCACGTTGATACCAAACAACATTTTACAATATCCAATGTCTCAAAACCCTGACATTGGACTTTAGCCTCCAAGGTAACGGATTTAGCCCGCGATTAAGCTCCTAATTAATTAAAATTACAAGACGAAATTCATTCTAACTCTCACCTATGACGGATGCAGAGCAGAGAAGTAGGAACATTTCTCTCAGGGTAACAGCGGATGTATGCCTCTGCATCTATTGCATAGTCACAAAGAAACAAAATCAATGGATTCAGGACTGTAATACTAATACTGTTTTCTCACTTTTACGAAAAATGATGTAGAAAGATGAAAATGAGTTCCTGGAACGAAATAAATTTGACAAAGAACGCTTTGCGAATGTTCCCAATGTTTTTAATAACGAAACATGCCAAATGGGGTCATAATGTTAGGGCGCCATATCAAAATTGAAACTTCTAAGAAATGAGAGTTGTTTAAAAACTCCCCCCCCCCCTAAAAAAAAGAAGAGAGATTCGTTTCAGTTAAGTTTCCTTTTGAACTTGTTTGAAATAAACATGTATAAAATTAAGCTATATTGTTATCCAAAACAATTGATCATCCTCATCGAATTCGTTGATAAAAACCCCATTTGACATTTGATAAGTCTTACCTTCATAATAGAAATTACTTATACTGTGTAGATAATCTTGAAGTTTACAGCACCAAAAGTTGTTTTCCAAGCAAGAAACACGTGGAATAGTGCTTATTCGCACACAAATATTAGATGGAAAACGCTTCAAATGCAAGAGGTACATGTAGTTTATTTAATGAACGACACTGCTATTTGGCGGCTGTATGGTTGCAATGGATTTCTGTTTGAGATTTTATAGAGCGGGTGTGTTCCGGCAGAAGGAGCGTAACAGACAATCGCTGGCTCAATTTGTATGGATAGATGTTGTATACCATCGGACCAATAAGAGAGCTGCATAGTGTGTACCTATACTCCCTTTCATGTTAACATCAATTTTGCGATATATATATAAACATGTCGTACAGGTGTCGTGGTCGAGTGGATATGTCACCGGACTGTCGATCACAAGGTCCGCGGTTCAAGGCCCGCCGCGGCACTAATCTCATTTGACAAGACATTTATCTACAAGTTTGCCACACTCAACCCAGGTGATGTAAATGGGTACCTGGCAGGAATTAATTCCTTGAAATGCTAGAGCGCCGTAATGGTAGCCGTGCTAAAGCCAGTGTAATAATCGGGAGCGCCAGGAGTGTCAAATCTGACTGCATGACATGAGCGCTATATGAGAACCCGCTATTATTATTATTATTATAAAGGGTCTATATTATGCTGCGGCGATCTAGGATTTCGGAAGGGGGAGGGGGCAGACCAACGTTTGCGCAAAGCTTCTGGATGGGGTTCAAGGGCCCGCCTTTTGGCCCCTATTGTGGTGCAGAGCCCCAGGTAGATTTCAAGGTAGATTACCCAGGCGTCCTCGAGTTTAAGCAATTCAAAACCTTGAGCGATAGAAAGACATAAACTGACACTTTTCTACAACAAAGGGTTGTATTGTCCTGGGAATCACTTTGTGGGTCCAGGGGCAGATGCCCTGCCGTAGGACCAAAGGACGAAGCCCCCGGACACTCTCGAGTTTGAAGACTTCAGAATCTTCAAGATAGCTGACACGAGCGATAGAAATATTAATTTTCTCCCTGATATTCACACAGCCCCTATCATTTAATTCCAGAATTCATCTCTATAAACTATTTTATAGAATTAATTGTTCGTATACTGTTCTATACCAAGGACAACATCCTCCATGGGTCTCATTTCGTCTGAAGTCTTCGTAGGAAAATGTCGAGCCAACTCATCGACAATGTAATCTGTATGTGTAAATTCAAATTTCATCTTCTTTCTTTCTCTCTCTCTCTCTCTCTCTCTCTCTCTCTCTCTCTCTCTCCTTTTCCTCTTTCCTTCTATCTCCTTCTCTCTTACGTTCGTTTCTCTTCTCGTTCTCTCTTATGTTGCAAAATCTCTCCCTTTTTATTGTTTCCTTCTTTTAGGCCGCAAAAAGGGGAGGGTCGCTACTAATTAGCCCCCCCCCCCCCCGATCCACCAAAGATTTATACATGTATGTACTCATTACCCATAGCTTGTGGATGGGATGAGGCAGTTCCATCCCATCCCATGAGTTACCAACCCCCACCTCTCTCTCTCTCTCTCTCTCTCTCTCTCTCTTTCTAGAAGTAGACATTCTTTAATGTCAAGTACACCTATGTACAAGAAATGTGAAGGAAATGATTCTTACTATATATAGGTTTTACCAAAAAAATACCGTAAGTATGATGCAAACCGGTTCACCTTGGTATTATTATCAGGCTAGGCAAGTTTCACTTCTAAATTCTTCTTCCAATATGTAATCTTTCACACTGGCGTATACTGATGGGGGGGCTTGGGGGCGCTATCCCCCCCCAATAAAATTGAACCATGTCCAAGGAAATAAAAGGAAAGAGAAGAGAAGAAAGAAAGAGAAAAAAGAAAAAGAGGAAGGAGAGGAAAGAAAGGAAAAGAAAGAAAAGAAAGAAAAGGAAAACAAAACAAAAAACGAGAAAAAGGAAACAAAAGAAACGGGGGGGGGGGGTGAAAGAGAGGAGAGAGAGAGGGTGGTAAGAGCCTAAGAGAAGAGGGGTGGGAGAAGTAGCGTACGCAGGATTTTTTCAAGGAGGAGGGGGGGATTTAACATTTTTAAATCGGGCCGAAAATTTCGCAACGAGTCAGCCAGCCGCTGTATAAAAAAAATAAATAATAGATGTAGAGGGCGGTGGTAGAGGTAAAGGTAGAGTTAGATGTAGGATAGTAGAGGTAGAGGGTGGTGGTGGTAGAGGGTGGTAGTAGATTTAGAGGGTGGTGGTAGAGGGTGGTGGTAGAGGGTGGTGGTAGATGTAGAGGGTGGTGGTAGAGGGTGGTGGTAGAGATAGAGGGGAGTGGTGGTAGAGATTTTTTTTAAACATCAGCTTGAATACTGAGCTATTATGTGTGGCGTAGCTAAGAGATTTGATCTCTCTGCCTAATTGTATTATGCCTATTCTCGTACAACATTGAACGGATTGCTTTGTGGAAGCGCACGCTTTACGAGCACGATCTGTATAAACGCTAGTTATTGTACCTTTTGAAAGGTAGAGGAAATGGGCAGACGGAATTCCGGAAATACAGACTTAGTGGAATAAATATTGAGAGGGAGAGAGAGAGAGAGAGAGAGAGAGAGAGAGAGAGAGAGGGAGAGAGAGAGAGAGGGGGGGGGGAGAGAGAGAGGGGAAGAGAGAGAGAGAGAAGGGAGAGATAGATAGAGTGTGCGAGAGAGAGAGAGAGAGAGAGAGAGAGAGAGAGAGAGAGAGAGAGAAGGGAGAGATAGAGATAGAGAGAGAGAGAGAGAGAGAGAGGAAAAGGAGGGGAGAGAAAAAAACGGAGATTAGAAGGAGAGAGGAAGAAAGTGAAATGCAGGTCGTATAAACAACTAAAAGCCTTTCTGTAATTTATAATCAATTATATTACATTAAACAAAACCACGAAAAGGTGTTTTGTTCTTTCTGCCTTAGCAAGAATGCAAACTTACGCACATTAGAGTTTGAAATATATTTGTGTTTTTATCATTTATTTTCTCTGCTTCTCTGAACATATGAATAAAGTACACTTTTTATAAAATAAAACAAATTACACATATAACTATTTAAAATATGTTAATATAATGGCCTAAAAGACAACGAAGTTTTATCTAAGGATGCAAATATATATTTTATTTTCCTTGTTGTTGTTTGTGTCGGGTGATAAGCCAGATAATAATAATAATAATAATAATAATAATAATATTCAATTTTTATATAGCGCTTAATAAAAATGTCTCTAAGCGCTTTACAAATATATTTACAGATAGATGTTCAAACAATATGCCTAATCACTTTCTTGATTTAATTATAAAACAAATATATTTAAAAAAACACATAAACATAAAACATATTGAGTCAAGAACGCTGAGACTAATTTAAAGTTAAATTCGGGAAATGAATAATCCTAAAGGAAAAGATAAGCTTAATTGTTGGTTACAGGCCTCAAAGGCTTATGAATTATAAATCCCACAAAGTCGTGGGGAAAAAACAAATGTAAATGTTGATTTACCTAAACAATTGTATTATCAAAGTGTAAAGCACATCTACAAAATTAATATTCAACGAAGACTAATGATTTAAAATCCTTACCTTACCTTATTCTAATTATTAAGTATAAATATGAATGAAAAACATTCAAAAATCGTAAATGTTGACTACCCGTATGTTTTTCATTGACCTGATATTTTTCACGGATCAGTATGAGGTAATGACTTTTTATTGAAGGGTAGATACATTTATAGATACGATATTTCTTGACAGCCTAAAATATACAAAACAGATTGTGATTTTTTTATTTAAAAAAAAAAAAAAAAAAAAATTTAGGGAGGGGGGGTGTGATTTGTTTCTAGGGGTAATGGTCATCATTCAGGTTAATGTGAACGTCCTATGGTACGTAAAGAAGACGATTTGGAGAGTCAGGTGAAATGCCTGTTACCACATCACTAGTCGCATCATCCAGAACCTTAGTCTTCACCTCCGATGGCGACATTCCACTATCGTTACCCAGAGATATAGCTGCAGCACCTATTCAACAATAAGTGAAAGGAAAGGATTGGATTATAGTTTCAGTAGCGCTATGTTGTTGTTTTTTAATTACTTAGACAAGTCAGTCAGTTTATGACCATGCATTATTGCCGAATGCTATAAAAAACAATTGTTTTTTAACTCCAATAACGTAACTATATACACATGAAAATGCGTGTATATCTATATAATATATTTCTTCTTCTTCTTAATTACCCCCCCCCCCAAAAAAAGGGGGGGGGGATAATGATAGTTAGATTACCGATCCCTTTCCCGCTCGTGGTACGTTACGAAGGTTTCTCAGGGGGGGGGGGGGTGCAGATATACAGCTTTATTACTCTCTCTCTCTCTCTCTCTCTCTTTCTCCCTCTCTCCCTCTATCCTTCTCTCTCTTTCTCTCTCTCTCTCTCTATCTTTCTCTCTCTCTCTCTCTCTCTCTCTCTCTCTCTCTCTATCTATCTTTCTCTCTCTCCTTCTCTCTCTCTCTCTCTCTCTCTCTCTCTTTCTCTCTCTCTCTCTTTCTCTCTCTCTCTCTTTCTCTCTCTCTCTCTCTTTAAATAATGGTTTCACTTCCCTATTTCAGTAGGCCAAGCATTGAGGGTACACTATACTAGCTGGGAGAGATAGGGGTCATCGGTCTCACAAAGCAGATTAGATATGCGAGAGAACAAGGTCATTGAATGAGCCTGTAGGAAGGGGTTGTATCGTCGTTTCCTACATTTCCATCCCAATACCAACATCGAAAGCATCAATATTTTGTCATATTAATTCGAAATTTCGACTGGGTGTCACCCTTCCCCGTTCGCCAGGCCCCCTCTTCGTGTTATCAAACAGTTCTTACCTGGAACATGTGGACAAGCCATAGATGTGCCACTGAGTGTACGGGTGTCCTCTGGCCCGGTTATCCATACACTGGGGATGTCAACACCAGGGGCGAAGATGTCCAGACATTTCCCGTCATTGGAGAAGCTTGCCCGATCGTCGTTGGTGTCTGTAGCACCCACGGTAATTGCCTACATGTGAAGGAAATGGTTTTAAAGGGAGATGCTCGTCAGTTTTCCTGTGCAGTAGATCATAATTCGCTGACATCAGACTTGGGTGAACAAGACTAGTCTCCACACAGCAAACCAACTCGTCAATGCCCATTACATTTGCCACTCTCGACCCAGGTGAATACCTGATAGGCAGGTATTCTGTGGATCGCAAAGTACTTTCGAAAAATCAAATCAAGGGCAATTTCAATACCCTATGTTATATCCCACGAAAATCTTTTTCGGCTTACGTATACAGCATTGTAATATTTGCACATTTCAGGAGGGGATGGGCAGGGCTATCGGAGTTGTAGGTTACTAGTAATTGTTTGAAAGTAATTGCGGTCGTGTTGTTTTCGCCATGTGAGGAGGGGTAGTTCTGAAAAGGACAGTTGGATTTGAAAAGGATTGATGAGTAAAGAGAGAGGATGGCAGAAGTATGCTTTCGTGTTTCGTCCTATTAACGAGTACATTGAACTGTTGAGAGTCGGAATACGGAACCATGACGTAGGACCAATGGTCTCTAGGACCCCCTAGGACTCCCCCCCCCCCCCCCCCAGGACCCTTGTAGGACAGTAGGGCCAATGGTAGGGCCAATGATCAGGACCGATGGTGTGTATCACATAGGACCCATACCAATAGTACAATTAATGACGGATGGAAGTAAAATCCAATACGTTTACCTCTTCAACTCGAGCAGGTGAGTATGAACACGCATCATCGTTGACGTTCCCAGCGGCTACTACCACAGTGATACCAGCATTGATGATACCCCTCACAGCATCATCTATTGCTGGATTAGAGCTACCTCCAAGAGACATTGAAGCAACGGCCGGCTGCTCGGCAGATTTCGTGACGTAATCAAGACCTGAAATAATGTCAATAATGTCATGATCATTGTCATGGGGACAGGAATACCCTACTTTATAACAAAGGGTATAATTACAATATTATGCAAATAGGGGTACCAGCTATGGCACGGAATATCAGATGGGTTGATAGGGACAAAGTTAAGAACGTTTGAACTATAAACACATAGCTTGTTTGTTTGTTTGTTTGTTTGTTTGTTTGATTTGTTGTTCCACATTCCACATAATCAGATCGTCTCATAAATAATATTTAACAAGATAATGCATAATAAAACCCAGATAGACGTGTAACATAGATAAACAATAATGTGAAATATTACGAAGCAAATCTACTAAGGTTCCAAAATGAAATACAAAAACAGTACCCGATAGAACAACGTATACATGAATGCATGTTAATTTGTCGATGGTGTAGCTGAACTTAATGTATTTATAACAATTAGAAATGTCACAGGCATGGTGAGGCAGCCACCCCTCCCCTCGAGAATTTTGAGAAATATTATCGGGCAACCTTTTATCCGGGCAGAAAGGTAGCCTATTGTATTTGTATATCTTGATGAGGATTTCTTTTTAAAACCATAATAAAGTGTCCTTTTTAAAACTTGACTTTCAAACGTGGGATTGGGGGCGAGCGCTGTCTTCACCCGTTGCTGGGATACGCCAATGGTGTCGTAATTTTCTCTGTTCGTTTTACCGATATCATGTTACCATAGTTACCTGCTATTACGTCGGCAGTTGCTCCGGTTCCGTAGCAATCTAGAACACGAACTCCAAAGAGATGAACCCCCGGGGCCACTCCGAACTGATTAGCTCCTATAGTTCCTGCACAGTGGGTCCCGTGACCGTTGCAGTCGATACCCTACCAATAAACATTGAAATTCAATCATACTATTTCATTTTTAGAAATACAGGTAGAATAACTACGACAAAGAAACAAGGCGCATACAACAAACTAAACCATTATATACAAAAGCCTAAGTTTTAAAAAGAAATCCCTTTTCAAACTGGTGGACTCACAAGTTAACTCGTAATTCATAAATACTGTACATCGAAAAACGTTTTTTTCAACTTTTCTTCTTTTTTTTTTTCTTTTTTCTTTTTCTTCTTCTCCTTCTTTTTCCCTTCTTGTTATTCTTCTTCTTCTTTCTTCTTCTCTTCTTCTTCTTCTTCTTCTTCTTCTTCTTCTTCTTCTTCTTCTTCTTCTTCTTCTTCTTCTTCTTATCATTATCATTATGACTATAAATGATGACGTTGTTGTTGCTATTATTATTAAAGTTCGTCATCATCATCGTCGTCATCATCATATAATAGTCTTAATTCAGCATTTAGAAAAGTACGAATAGTATTTTATCAACATTAAATTCAACGCACAATAATTGTGCGTTGAAGTTAATGTTGATGAAATTATTGATAACAACATCATAACGTTAAGCCATGTAATTATGTTATCAAACCACTAATGCATATTTTGACACTATCGGCTCAAGATAATATGGTAATAGGGAGATGGGATAAATGGCACATCCGACAGATTAACACGATGACGGATGACCTTCCACCTAATATGCACTTTTCAGTTTTAAGAGCGAAGCATAATTCGTTGGTAGCTTTATGTATGTCTTTTCAGAGCGATTTTTTTTTAATTGAGTTATTTTTCTCTACTGAAATTTGACAATGAAAATTGAATTGATTTTTTTGTATTCATCTAAATTACAATGAGAGGTTATTTTCGTGTAAATATTTTTTTAAATGCAAAGAAGTATGTATAATAAAACATATATTTCCTCAATGTACATAATACATGTACATATTTATCAGCTTCATTGTCCTCTTTGAATCTCTCTTAATAAATAAGCCTGTTTGCGATTGATCTCATATTTTGTACTATATTTTGTTTATGTCACAATTTATGCTCTTTAAGTCTAATCAACTGATTCAAAATTCAAATCTCTTTTTTTGCCAATTGTACCATCGCGGACCCTGCCCTCTTCCTCTTCTCTCTCGTTCTACCCCCCCCTCTCTCTCTCTCTCTCTCTCTCTCTCCTTCTCTCTCTCTCTCTCTCTCTCTCTCTCTCTCTCGATCTATACGTATTTCGTCTTGTTATTATTCATTGAACTCCTAGGGAGTATGTCCCCCCCCAACACACACTCATTTTTAAACAATTATTGCAATTGAGGCACATGTACCTATTCTTCTAGGACCGCTTCTCACTGAAAGAGAATCATAATCTAAAAATTAAAGATCATCTACTTACGTAAGCACCCTGCCTGGGCATAGCATCGAAGGCAGCTGTAGCTCGACCCCCGAAGTAAAGGCTATCAGGATAGATACCTGTATCGACGATGTATGCATTCACACCTGTACCGTCACCTACGACAAGATGGGAAAGGGGAGGGAAATTTAGTTGAAAGAAAAAACAAAACAAAAACAAAAAACAGGCAGATAGACAGACAAAGAAACTAAGATGAAATTCGTATGTTTGAGACAGTAGTTAAAGGGCTGATAGGCCTGTATATTTTGATGCTTTTTAATACTATCAGTATCTAATTTTGTCTAATCTTTGGTTTGACGGTTTGAATGGGGTATCTGATGTCTTGTATAAACAATATATACATACATTTTTTTTAAATAATTAAAAAATACATCACCAATGGTCAACAAAATTTTGGTTGTGGATGTTTCGCGGCGTAACTGATGTATTACAGTTCTAAAGGATAATCAATAGTACTTACCATTGAAATCTGCCTTTCCATCAAGAGGTAGCTTGTTCTGATCTATACGGTCTAAGCCCCACGATGCCACGGAGGACTTTCGAACAACACCATCTTGGGCTATGTACTTAATCTCCTCTCTGGCTAGCAGCTGAATAAAAGGGATGTCAAGTCATCAAGATCATTTTATTTTTTAATGTATGTTTTTGTCAAAATAAATGAAAAGCTTATATGTACTAGTCAATCACAACTGACGTCAAGGTTCCACAATGTTCTTTTTTTTTTACCATAGACCTATTACAGGCGCGGATCCAGCCGGCGGCAGGGGAGGGGGTCCATCTCCAGAAAAGGGTAAAACGTATGTGTTTGTACGCGTTTTTTTTCCCATAGGGGGCGGGATGGGGCCTGGATCCGCCACTGGCCTATTAGATGAGTGTTCTTTATTTATGTATCTTGTATAAATTTCTTGGCAAATTTTAGTTTTATTATTATTATTTTATCATCACTATCACAAATTATCATGACCACTATCACCAATCATCATCAACATGGTTGACACCATCGGCAACATCATCATTATCATTTGCATCATCATCATCATCATCATCATCATCATCATCGGCATCATCAACATGGTTGACATCATCGTCATCATCATCATCATTATAATCGGCATCATCAACATGGGCGACATCATCAACATGGGCGACATCATCCTCATCATCATCATCATCATCATCATCGTCATCATCATCATCATCATCATAATCATTATCATCGGCATCATCGTCATCATCATCATCATCATCGTCATCGTCATCGTCATCGTCATCATCATCATCATCATCCTCATCCTCATCATCATCATCATCATTATCGTCATCATCAAAATAAGCATCGTACAGCATCCGTAAATCAATCAAGCATATACCTTTTTAAGACCTCTTTCTGGTAGTTTAGCCGAGAAGCCCTGGATGGCCTTGGTGTAGGTGTGCTTGATGGTGGCTCCACTGAAGATTCCTGAACGATCTCCTAGGATAAGATTCTTGATCGGAACCATGTCATACCCAGGCTATAAAAGACATTTTGTTTTTATAAAAAGAAATTAATATCAATCAATCACATTAGTCGTTATTGTCATGTGAAAGAATGACTGTCTTATTTGAAATAAATAAGGTTCGATTACGAGGTCAATGCAATCGTTATGGATTAAGTAGAATTCTAAATCTATTTCCTCTACCATACACCATCTATTTATTAACGTTTAGTGCCTTTAATTCCATCATACAGTAATGCAAAATACGATCATAATTTAAAACGACATCATGTTGAAAAGCATATGACTTATTTTTGTATATTCCAAGGAATGTTAAACAAGCATTTCAAAATAGATTTAACGAAAGACTATTAAGCTTTTATGTAAACGTATTTGATCGTCTGTCTATTTTCCATATTAGCTTACATGTTAAACTGTGTACGTGTGGAATAGCAGATGAATGTCTCTAGGGAAATGAATATATAATAATTCTAATAAAATACCGACAACGATAATACATAACGGGATATCTTTGCAAATTTGCGAAGTTTGATATAGGCCCAGACTTCATCTCCCAAACCTTCCTGCCCCTTTTACGTCATTACAAGGTAGGTTAACGATCGGCATAGAGTGTTTAAAAACATAGTATTATATACATTTATACATAGATCATATACATCTTGTCGAGAAACTGTGGATGCAAACAAGTACAGAGATGGACATGGCGCAAGAAACATGAATAGAGTTGTCGCTATTCCTTTATTGTGAATATTATTAATTAAGAAACCCATATTCTGTGTTAACATTCTTTTCTCCGGATTAAAGACAGAGTAAAAGGGCCAGATGGGAGTATTTCATTGTTTTGTTTTTGCAGAATTACAGATTATAAACCTCAGATATGAACTAATAGAAAGTCGAAGAAAAGATGCGAATCGCCGGACCCAATATTTCATTCTTCACGAAAATCGAAATATTATCAAATCATAAATTAACACTCTTGATAAATCTCTCTTACCTGCATTACGACTATATACCGGTCTTCAATCGGTTCCTCTACTGTGTAAAGTGTCGCGTTCCTTGCCGCCGAATATGCCACAAAGGCAGTCAAAATTACGAAAATCTGCTTCATTATCCAAAGTATATCATTTACCGCTGTGCTTATACTTGCTTAGCTGCCAGATGATACAGTCCTGTCGTCTACTGTGCTCCTGGTGGTATGTTTACAGATTTGTATTTCAGTGGGAGCATCTAAGCACAGACTAATCACGTGATCAGAGAAAGGATCCAATCAAGCAGCCGAGAAATGACCGCAATAGTGCTTGTGCACTCATGGCGTAGGCTAGGGCAAGCTATTGCAGAGCCAGAGGGGCTGGTATTATTGTGGTGGTTTAGTGGTGGTTATTTTACCTGACTGCTAAGAAAGATGCTTGTTAGTAAGCGGTGGGGGAGGGGGGGGGGGGGCTGTTCTTGGTAAATGAAATGCGAAATAACAAGACCATGAATTAACGTTAGGTGTGAGATATGGGGACCTTACTTTTTCGCCCCTTTCTTCCTCTATTCCGATGCCTTTTCTAGCTGACTTTATATAGACGGAGTGCCGGGGGGGGGGGGTGTGTTGACTTGCCCCCCCTCCCCCTTCACACCGCTTCGCGACTGTGTTCACTGCAAAGCAGACCTAAATCCTTGTAAGCAAGGAGCTGCGTTAGTGACAGAGAGTCGCCTTGTTCTGCTCGCTAGATTATCAGGAAGCCAGGAAGGCAACACCTGGAAAACAAATGGACCTAAAGAGCAATTGAGAATGATAAAAGCCCTTTTTTCATGAAGTCGAGTTTTCTCACCTGCGCCCCTCTCTGCAAGAGAACCAGGATCCGCCACTGAATATAATTAACCAATAGCCTTTTAAATCACATGCAGTAAGTAGGTCTTTGAAAAATATCTCATAATATTATGTGGTTAGAACTATATCCATGTTGCAGGCCACCAGATCGAGAGTATTACCGGGATTGTAAAGTATATTCTTGAAAAGGGCTAAAATAATAACCGTGTCAAGGCGAGAATAGTACAAATACATTCGTTGTGTGACCAATAAGAATATCTTAAAAACACTGCACAGTAGGAGGCGAATACCTGTAAAGCGAAGCTTGCATTTGAAATCATTATTTTTTGCCCAAGGTTTATCTGAGTCAGCAACGAACAAAAGTGTGATAAAGTCATCATTCGTTTTGATGATGGAACTAATAGAAAATTCAATAATAGCATTAAGTAAGATGATTGCGATTGGTTGCAAAACAGGCACACGACAAATGTTATCATAGCTTATTGCTATCATTTTTTTTATTGCTGCTTTCGTGATCATTGTTGCTATCAGTATTATAATTACTGATATTAACATCATCACCATCATCACAATCATTGTCGTTATTGTCATCTTTATCTTTGTCATCATCATCTTTATTATCATCATCATCATCATCACCATCATCACAATCATTGTCATTTTCATCTATATCTTTGTCATCATCATCATCATCATCATTATCATCTTTACCATCATTGTCGTTTCTATTCTATCTTTGTCATCATTATTATCATCACCATCACCATCATTATTATTATCACCATCATTATCACCATAATCATTATCATCATCATGACCATTATTGAGAAATTACTAAAAGTCCTGGTATGTGCTTCCTATGATATGTATACACTTCATAATTCACATAAAGTTAAGGACTCAACAGATCGGGAATAAAAAAACATATTTTATCAATCACATATTTTGTTTTATATATTACTTGATTTATTCATTCTCATCAGAATAACACAAACTCTATTGGTTTAATGGTAGTGTTTCATATCCCACACGTATCATAGTAAATGGCAGAATATTAGTATAGACTTGACAGTGTTTTATCTAAACTAGAAATAGGAGATACAGATTCTCAACAAAGAATTGCACCTTTATGGAGAAAAACATGATAACGATTAGCTGCTTTGGTGCCTCTTAGTACAAATTCATTTATATCATCAAATGAATAATAATACTCTTTCATAAGTGATCTTTAGGATAACATAGATTCTGAAATCAACAAACAATTTGCAAATCTGTAAGTACTATGATATTATTAAAGAAAATAAAAACTAAATAAAATATGCATATCTTGTATTTGGGCATGATCTTTTATATAAAAACATAAAATGAAGATAGGGAAAATTTTTAATTCAGTTTCCTACTCAAAAGCTTTTCAATGTATCTATACATATAAATAGAACACTTCGCGAATCGTTTACATTGGAAGAAAGAAAAAAATTGTTCCAAGTTTTTTTTTTGTGTGTGAAGAAGTGAAGAAAAAAAATGTTTTGCATAGTTGAAATTCATGAACGTGAATGGTAGAATGATGTATTTTGCCCTAGTACAACAATGGGCAGAGATAAAATCATCTATAGCCGACTATGGTTGACCGATCACAGCAGATTTTGCTAGCTATACAGGGTGGGCGGCAAGGATGTAAAGCAGCCCCCACTCTAGCAAGGAGCAAGCATGAGGCTCTGGGGTCTCAAAGACTCTGACCTGTGTCCATGTGGTCAAATTCAGACTGTTGAGCATGCCCTGAATGACCCCCAGGACCCCTATGTAAACTCACTGATATTGACAACCCAAAACTGGTGTCGTATTTAAACAATCATCAGTATTTAAATACATATAGCTACGGTTGTTATATGAAATGATAATGTACCTTGCATCTTTTGATCAAATCAACAAAAATCCTCTTCATTAATAGACAACTCTGATGATATACATTAGAAATGATCTCTGTAGATTAAACTTCTAACAAAGTAAAGATATGCCATTTTGCAATTGCAATGCAGCAGTAGGGTAGTTAGGTAGAAATATGAAGTAAAATTCTGCCAGGTTGAATCGAGGCATAAAGTTGTTTATAAATATGGCAAGATGGTTGTGTTTCTGCACATCTGATACCTTGCATAATACTATGTCTGTTAACAGGATTTGAATCAAATTGTATTTAAAATCACCTCAAGACATAAAGACTGAGATACGATAACTAAAGAGAAGTGACAACAAAAGTCCAATAATATTTTCAAATCCCCTACAAATCATTTATGTGAAGACATGATAGTGAACATTAGTGAAAGATTTGAGTTCTTATACAGACCATATAGGTATAATAACATTATCAAATAATTTTTAAGTGAGAGGAAAGACATAGACAATTTGTGAAAATATTTAAAAACAAAAAATTGTAATGGCCATCATACCACTACTGTTCACACACTATTTTATATACCATGGTATGACATTGAATTACACAAATATCATATCATCATATCACCTTCTATTATCATAACATCCCATTCAATTTGTGACGTTCTCTGGATAAAAATCAAAAGCAATGGTACATATTGTACCACGTATGAGCCTTTGACGTTTCTGTATACTGTATTTTTCACATTGCTCAGTTAACAGATAAAACTTTTAACAAATCTGAACCATTTGCAAACTTTGTGAATGTGAAAGTTTCAAGTTTAACAGCACTCAGAAAGAAGTTTTAAAAAAAAAAGCTGCACAAAGTCTGGAAAATCAGATGGCAAGAAACTCAAGTCTTTATCAAGTTTTCTCTACAAGAAGGGAAAAAAACATAAACAAACATCAATTCTTAATGACAAGTATATATCCATTAAAATGTTAGCACTAGAATCACATTCTAATTCATACCATATTTTCTAGAAACATGATTTTTAATCAAATTGTACTAAACTTATTAAGAACATTAGATGTATCTTCTCATCAGAGAGAGAACGCATATTGAGCTTGATTCCATTAATCATCCTTCTCTGGACCAAGGAAGGGATGCTGCGGGTGATTTACCCTATAGATTTAAAAAAAGAGATGAATAAATTAGAAAAGACTTAGAATAATAAGAAATCCTCACTGATATCAATCTTTCATTTATGCCAGCAAATAATAACAAATTTATTGCAAATTTTGACACTTATGCAAGCAAATAATAACAAATATATTGCAAATTATGACAATTATGCAAGCATATAATAAAGAACTTATTGCAAATTATGACCTGCCCCCAGGCCCCCTTTGGGGTACGTATCACATTAGAACAACTTTAGATCTCCCTTGCCTAAGGATGATTCCTACCAAGTTTGGTTAAAATCTGGTCATGCATTTTTGAAAAGTCATCAAAAATGTAAATCAGAGCTCATTTTTGTTTTTTGGGGGAAGGGGGAGTGCTATTCACAAGCCCCCTTCCTCTGGAGGGGTCAGCAATTTCATATATATCCACCCTGCCTAATGAATGCTCCCTTTTAAGTTTAGTATAAAAAAAGTATACATCAATTTTATTCATTGCAATAGGGGCACTTTGGGGGATGCTGCCCTTATACTCCATTTGAAAAAAATTACATCTCCATTTCCTGCTAGTGATTCCTACAAATATTGGTTGGAATCGATCCATGTTTTTTTTTAGAAAAACAAGAAAATTTGCAACTATTGCACCTGCCTCCAGGACCCCACTAGGGTTATGTACCCCATTTTAACAACTTAAATCCCCTTGCCTGATGATGGTTCCTCACAAGTTTGGTTAAAAATTGGGTAATGCGTTATTGAGAAGCTAAAAATGTAAAAAGTTTACGGATGACGGATTGCAAAAAGCCTCACTCATCCCAGTTGTCAACTAACTACTTTACTTAGGTGACAACGAGCTTAGAAAGTTTTTACTTATATGTGCATTAGTGGCTAAGCAAGGTTTACTATATCAATTATTTGGATGACAACTCACCAGTCCAGAAGACAGCCACGGTACCCAATATTCATGGCCAACAGAGTCTTAAGGTCCTCAGGATCAAGCTCAAAGTTGAGCGCCTGTTCAAGAGGTCAAGAGAGAAGATAAAATCCAATAAATTCAGGTCAATAAAAATCGCATGAGATTTATGGCATCCTGCAGGCAGGCTTCACGTCTTGTCCTGAACTCTAGTGTCATTCTAAGAATAATGTTGACTAAAATGTCACCCACCCAACCAACCCCCAACCACCAACACCCCCCCCCCCCACAAAAAAAAAGAACAACAATCAAACAAACAAATGCATAAAAATACAATTTTTAAAAATTTATAATAAAAGGAATAACATAATAAACAACATGTGAACATAAAAAGAAAAGCGGGAGAGAGAAACATAGATAAAGAGAGAAAATCAACTATCATTATTATTTTCTTCTGTTTTAACAGTTACAAATATATCATCTAAACAAAATATTCCTCTGTAAAAAGCCATTTACATCACATAAATCACAGACGCTTCAATGGCTCTTAGCTATACCATGAATGACAACTAATTCCACTACACTACATAAAGAATGAGTATAAGCTTAAAATAATATTTGCAATTCTAGCTACCGCAACTACAGTATTTGGCCATAGAGGGCAGCACCAACCATGGGTATATTTTGCAAAGGCACTTCCAAGAACTGGAATTTCTGATAGATTATTGATTAGGGACCAATAAATCATATTACATACATTGTAACAGATTATGATGGTGCCTACATAGATCTCATCAAATCATCAGGGGAGTTCATGAAACCTGAACAATAGTTTAGTAAAACATAGTAAAACAAGGATTTAGATGACACTGCTGTACATTCTCCATGGAAGCCAGAAGAAACATTGTCTAATCATTTTCCCCAGTATCGTATTTGCACATGTGCTGACCTGCGCAGTGTGGGACAAATGTCGCTATTTAATGTCGAACATTGTATTTGCGGTAGGGTCATTTGTTCATCAAAACAGTCCAATATTCCTGTTTCTTTTTTGAATAATGAGTAAAGTCAGGTGTTCCATCGGCTGCTCCAGAACATGTATCGTATAATCAATGTTATTTGAGCTTGTTAGGCCCAGTTCACACGTTGCTGTTAACCACTGCGGTTTTCTGCCATGGCAAAATACAACAATATAAGCATCATGCGCTTTCCATTTCTGTATCTTGTAACACACAGACAAGTGAGCACTGCTAAGACCTTTGTCTGCAGCTACATTTTTTCACCCCCACTTGAGCCATTCACATACATGTAAACAACCTGCTGCTGCTGTAAGGGGAAAGAGTTTCGGCTCACCTCAAAGTTAGCCTGTATACGACTAGGGGTGACACTCTTTGGGATGCAGATGATCCCCCTCTCAAGACAAAACCTGATGAGAATTTGGGCGGGGCTCTTGCCCTTCTTAGTAGCGATGCCAGTAACAATAGGATCCTCCATCAGTTTAGGATCATCATCCTTAACCCTTCAAAGAAGAAGAAGAAAAAAGACAAATTCAAAGATGAATCTAATCTGATACATGAAACTTTCAAGGGTTGGGGGTAAACTAGTTTCAGTTTTAAGTGATGAATGTCAAGCCATTGTAATGGCAACATAATGTAATGCAAGTAATGATGGATATAATGGTAATTGTTCAAATTATTATGATTTTTATTATCTCATATTGTGAATTCTTATTCTATTCTTTATTCTTTATTTTCCAAGATGCAGCCTATGGGGGGTGACATGCTTTTGAGTAATAGCAATTTCAATTGCTTTTGTCACCCCAAGAAAAGGAGATTGTATCCTTCTCTCTCTCTCCTCTCCACTTTCCTAAAACTGTTTGCATATATTATGAAATTTCTATGTATTATCTGATTGTTATACTCATTGTATGTTTTCTGATTGGTCAAATAAATAATAATAATAATGACAGCAAACATCAATCTTAAAACTTATTGGGCAATTTTTAATTTTCAAGCTTTCAATTTTACGGTTGGTAGAATCCTAAACCAGAGTAACTACGCATTGAATTATAATCCATTCGCTTGTAGATTTTGCACAACTATGCCTTTCCTTAGAGTCTCTGGCAGAAATTTGTTCATCCTTGGATCTAAAAACTGAACTTAATTCATCCAAGGGGAATGTTGGTATCAGGCAGTTTCAGGAATGTGCATTAAAATGATTAATATTAAATTAAAAACTTTCAACAAACAATAAGGCCCGAATTCACAAAGGAGGTTTACATTTAACCCATGGTTTAAATCTTCATTTACGTAACCCATGGTACTTGGTACTTGCATGACTTTTGGTACTTGGTACTTGGTTGTTGTTCCTCCAAAAGATTCCTAGTGGAATTTAAACTGGAGGTCGTGGTGGCAGAGGGTGGACTTATTTCGGAAGGAGTGCTACTTTAAACTTTGCTGAGTCAGTCAGGGATACTAATGCCGAATCGAGATTATTCCATGCTCTGGTTGTGCGGGGAAAAAAAGAGTTTTTGTATACATCTAATCTGGTTAATGGTATTTCGAACTGACTTGAGTGCCCGCGTCTGCTACGATCTGGTTTAGGTTTAATGTGTGTTTGGGCATCTATGTCCAGCTGGCCATGTAACATTTTGTGGAAACAGCTTAGACGGTGAGCTTCGCGTCTGTCTTGGAGAGAGTTCCATTTAAGAGAATTTAGAAGGAGGGTGACGCTTGCTTCTCTCTATATACATGGTTATACATGGTTTAAAAATTAGCGCAAAATAAGCGTACCTTGCCTTGCACGCATCTAATATTGGACCTCTTGACTGTGTTGCGCTTATTTTGCGCTAATTTTACACCATGGGTTATGTAAATGAAGTTTTAACCATGGGTTAAATGTAAACCTCCTTTGTGAATTCGGGCCTAAGAGTGTAATCTTCCATCACAGGAAAATAACAACCAAGGTACAAGAGTAAGATTATTAGAATCCAAAAGACACATATCACATAATACAATGCTTTAATTGTGCCTATAGAGGGCTCTGTCTTACTTACCATGGTCTATCAGGTGCACCTAGAGGGCTGTAAGCTGTTACCGTCATGTTATGCTCCTTGCAAAATTCAATCAGCTTTTCCTGAGTAAGCAGGGGATGCAGTTCAACCTAGAGATTAAAATCAGGTTATTATTCAAATGAAAATGAATTCAGAATCACTTTAAGATTTATTGTGTCCATAATAGAGCATTCTAAGGAGTTTTTAAACAAAGTGCAGCAGAGTATATTCATATATAGCGTAATTGATCTTGGTTATACATTTTTCAATTATGTAGAATTTAGAAAGTCAATCTCCAAATGCTTTACCTGGCATTCTATAGGTTTAGGTTGGCAGAGGATAAAGAAAATGAGGAACGACATAAAATGTTGCATATGGTTCCCAAGTTTGGGTTGAGTTCCATCTATTTGAGTGTGTTAACTATCTTACTCACAGGACGCTTTCATCTGGCATATATGGCAAAGTGACATGGAAAGCTAACATTCAGGGCTGTTTATACAATGCCTACTAAGATTCTTGCAATCTCATTGGTCAATTCTTGATCACATGACATGTGCTAAAAGAACCATTGAACGGCATCATTCTCCAGCCGTGCAATTCCGTTTGATCCTTTCGCACCATTGCACTCTGACGTCACTAACGATGTACAAAGTATATTGTGAGCTAAGTGACGTCAGAGTGCAATGGTGCGAAAGGATAAAACGAAATTGCACTCCGCGTACACATAAAGGTTGGTATGCGCGGCGCATGGTACGCGCAAGGTTTGCTGCCTGCATAATAGTGCGCGCTCACTACTGGCAATTTCATCAATTAAAAAAAAAAAAAAATCGCTGAGAACTAGATTTAGGCCTAGGAAAACTGTTTTAAGCCTGTTAACGTCCGAGGTGTTGTATAAAACAAATAGTGAATGGTCTTTATTTGTGCAATGGAACAATATTTTGCATTCGGTGAAAGATGAGAAGCTCCATTCAACTCGGCTGCGCCTCGTTCTTTCACCTCGTGCAAAATCTTGTACCATTGCACTGATGGCCATTCACTATTTGTATAATATTTGTTTGTGAATAGTACATTTTTCTGAATGTGCGAAGCTTGTTTGATAAACTTGATGAAATTAATTATTTGTTGAAAACTATGAACTTTGCATTATATGTCTATCTGAGACCTGGTTAAATAATTCTATTGCTAGTGAAATCGTGAAAATAAATGGGTACTCCGTCTATCGGCGAGATAGAAATGATGGTCGCCAAGGTGGTTTAGTTCTTCTTTATAAATTTACAATACAACCCTGCATTGATTATGGTATGTCTGTCCGGGCCAACAGTGCAGATAAACATAAAACTAACTACAAGGATTACAAAAACGAGCCGCAAGTTAAATAATTGGCAACTTTGACCTGAATGTTTCTTTTAAAACATTTTCAAAAAAATTAACTTGGCAAGACATTAATGAAAAAAAAAGACTACTTTCTTGCCACACAAATGTTTAAATGTATACATGGCATACCTGCCAACCTGAGACAAGAGAAATTAGGAGTAAATTTTTCTGGATGGACTACGAGGTCGCGAACCACCGAAGGATTGGGGTAGTAGCCCGTAGATTGGGGGGGGGGGGGTGTACACAGGACTTTAGCGTCTATTTTTTTTTCTCTCCATTTTAATGGTGCAAATGGGCCTTTTCCTTCAACCTTTTCGCCCCACACATAAACAATTTTTGAAATATCAAAATGTGAACATTCACAAAACTACATGTTTCACTACCCACCTCAGTTAGGAGCCCTATTTTGCAAAGGTAGAAAGATTCAGAATTACTGGCTACTGGAACCAACCAATCCAGATCTGGTTATCAGTGCTGTGTTATGCTTTAGTCTTATACATACATACATACATATTGGTATTTATTGAGCACCTTTACATGAACATGCTCAAGGCGCTTTACATTTCAAAATACAAACATAATAGTTATATACTCTCCAAGTGCATTACACTCTAAAAAAAAAAAAAAAAAAAAAAAATTAAATTTAAAAAAAATCGGAGTTTTGAGGCATGCACTCGGAATTCGGAGTTGGTATGAAAAATGCGGAGGAACTCCGCCTAAATCGGGGTGGTTGGCAGGTATGACATGGTCAAGCCCCTCCACAGCTTCATAATGATATTGAAATGTTTTGTGAACGACACAATCACCATACTAGGAACAATGATAGTCTTAATGTAGTCCCACCTGAAGTCCACCTCTCAATTTTTAAACAAGCCTTTAAATTTTCTGGTGCTTATAGATGGAACAGCATTCCCCACTTTATACAAAATGCCCAAACAATTGAAATTTTAAATTGATTTATAAGAAGTTTTATTTTTAATTTTACTTTGTAAATATTTATATCTATTGTACTTTTTCGTATTTTTTAATGTTTTATTAAAATGTATAATACAGTAGTTTGTTATATCTAATGATACTTACATTTCTGAGTTTTTAATATTTTGTTTTAATTATATGTCAACATAATTATGCAGTATTGCAGTTAAATGATTGTATTTGAAACTTTGTTATACATTTCACATGTCATTTGCTTTTTAATGTTAACAGGACCATTTATAAAAACAGTATACCTGAGCATATTATCCTGTATGAAGATGTTTTAATAAATAAATTAAGTGAATATAATAAATCATGTCATTTTGACGGAAAGATAATTTGAATAATGTAATGCATGTTGAGATATTATGAACATCATTTCTTACATAGAGGGAGAGAGAGGGAGAGAGAGAGAGAGAGAGAGACTGAGAGAGAGAGGAAGAGAGAGCCATAGGGACACTACATTATTTTAGCTTCATACCTGTAGGTTAGCAGGCTGGATTGTGGCCTTCTCAATAACACGTTTCATCATCTTCATGGAGAAGTTGGACAGTCCTATAGCTTTGCACTTTCCACTTGTTACCAGTTTCTCCATTGCCTACAGGAACAAAACAACAAGAAAAATGGCACAGAATAGATTAATGTATTATTATTATTACAAATTACTGTGATATTGTTGTTAGAGATCCTTGGACCTCGTGAGGAATTGAGCACTGACAAAGGTGGCTAGAGACTAGAGTGAAAAAGGCTACATATTGTCCCACTCTAGAACCGGGTTAATGATGTTACAGGAGCATCACTGTGTAACAGGAATGGGCACTATTCAAGAAGCCACCATTACTATTATCATGATCAATAACTACAAAGGGTTAAGGTTTATTGTTAGATCTGTGATGCTAACTGCATTAAAACAGATCTTTAATCTGGATTGCTTTTAATCTTGATGGTTCCTGAAGGCCTACAGAATCCATAATGTTATCAGCATCATCATCATTATCAATATTTTTTAAAATTATTATTCACATTATTATTATTGTTGTTGTTGTTATCAATATCATTTTTATTACTATTATTAATAGGACGATGATGACGACGGCGACGACAATGATGATGATGGTGATGATGGTAATAATGATTATGATGATGAAAACAAAGATGATGATAATGATGATGGTGATGATGATGGTTATGATGGCGATGATGATAATAATGATTATGATGATGATAATGATTATGATGATGAAAATGATGACGATGGTAATGATGATGATACTGATGATGATGATGATGATGATGATAATAATGATTACGATGATGAAAATGATGATGGTGGTAATGATGATGATACTGATGATGATGATGGTGATGATGATAATAATGATTATGATGATGAAAATGATGACGATGGTAATGATGATGATACTGATGATGATGATGGTGATGATGATAATAATGATGATGATGATGATGATGATGATGATGATGATGATGATGATGGTGATGATGATGATGATGATGATGATGAGAATGATGATGATGATGAGAATGATGATGCTGTGATGGTGATGATGATAATAATGATGATCTAACTTTTCTTCCTCACCAGATATGTATCCACATAGTCTACATCTTCAGGGATGAACTGGCCTTTATCATCTTTGGGAAAATCATTTGTGCCTCTCTGAAAACATAAAAAGTGAACATATAATTCATCAATAATACATAGAGTAGTAAAGCAGTATTGACTGTACATTAATATGAGGTATCACAGCTGAGTGGTTTAAACACTTGATTTGGGAAGTGATCGATGGCGCATAATAAAAGCTGTATTATTATTATTATTATTACCTCGCATGATTGATACTGGACTACACTATATGCATTGATAATGGTTGCTGGAGTTAAGGGCTGGTCAGACCTTATGTGACAATAACGACTAAAATGATCACACCAAAACGTTTTTCACAACTATGAAATCATGGGTTCTGTCAATAAAACACATTGAGTGATTTCAAGTACGGTGTTCGGTGTTGGTGTTGGTGTTGAGAGCGCGGAAAGGCTGCTGAACCGAGCTCCAACACCGACGGTCAGTTTAGAAGGACGATACCGATCACGCGTGCGCGCGTGCGTGCGCGTTATCGATAGCTCAACACCAGCCTCAACGTCTGAGTGACGTCTACTTTACAGGCGAAAAGTCTTGCGATAAAAGCATAATCCAATCAGAAATTCCAATAAATTACATCAGATCGATTATCAAATGTAAAGTCATATTAAAAAATCAAAAGATAAAATATCATTTCTCTTGAAAAACATATATAACTCCCATGATTTACTTCTGTTTTGACTGTACAAGGGATTTTTACCTTGGCATGATCGTCAGATTCGTGCTAGATAGCCGCATAGTTACCTGCGGTATACTGCAACACCAACGCCAACACCGAACTTGAAATCATGAATTTCCCAATCCCTAGGAGCTGGTGTTGGTGAATGGGAAAATTGCACGTAAATCGTCAACACCAACTGCGGTACTCGGTTTAGCAGACGACATTCAACACCAGCCCTCAACACAGACTAGCGGAAATACGTCATATTTCCTAAGGTCAATCCCAACACCAGCCTGATTTCAAGTTCGGTGTTGTGGTTGGTGTTGGTGTTCTCACAACACCAACACCAGCTTTCAACACCGAACTTGAAATCACTCAATGGTCACAGCCCATATCTTTTCTTCTGAATTGACGCCATATATCGAAGGAGTACAGTGGCTCACAGGTAATATCATTGAGGCTTGTCATTAAAAAATCGCTTACAAAGTAATCCCAATGAGACAATTAAGGGGTTGAGGGAAGCTCATTTGCATAAATAGTTGAGATCAAATTGACCTACAACAATGATTTCCATTTTCCAAAGACAAGGGGTATACAATCTACAAAAGTTTTCACCCATCTTACAAGTCATTATAAGCCAATAAAGTAAATAAAATGTTGTAGATTCTTTCAACTACTCTCATGGGCTACCAGCCATATTTTGTCCTTTTTCTCTGTATGATTACTTTGTATGTATTCTATCTGATTTTATTATACGGAAATAAAAACAACAACAACAACACCAATCTACACCCATTTTGACCAACCTGGTATGCCATCGGCCAATGCATGAGGTATAAGTCGACATAACTGAGTTGAAGGTTCTTGAGGGTAATGTCACAGGCTTCCTCTACATCGTCTGGGTGATGTTTATTGTTCCATAGCTGCAGGATTACACAATAACATGAGAGAAAATAATCTAAGAGAGCTAAAAACAGTGGATTTACTACGTTATCTGGGTGACGTTTGGTGCTCCATAGCTGCAGGATTACACAATTACATGAAAGAAAATGACAACAAAAAAAGAGCTAAATAGTGCAACTCAGCAATAAAATAAAATAATATGGTCTTTATTTCCTCAAGCCAGGTAGCCTCATAAGGCCTAAAATAAAAACTTGTTGTATTGCCCTTTAGGTTCCAAAACATGGGTCGGTCGGTCGGAAAAAAAATGTTAAAACTTTTTTTTATTGCCCTCTTTGGGCCGATATTTTTCAGTTTTGAATGTTTGTTTTTTCCCGCCCTCTTTTGGCTGATATTTCTAAGTTTTTAATGTGTTTCAGCGTCATCATTCCATTCATATCTTTTTTACCTCATAATAATCCATGGTTTGCAATGTTGCATGTTTACGCTAGTAGGATTTTGAAACTAGAGCAGAAGACGATTGAGAATTTGGGAATAATTTGATTTTATGCATTTATATCCCATTTAAACAAACAAAATATATATTTTTTTCATTAAAAAAAAAAACTTTTTTAAAATGCCGACCGTACATTTTCAGATTTTTGGGTCGGTCGCAAAGGGCAATACAACAAGTTTTTATTTTTGGCCTAAGCATTTTACACTGCTTTACCTTGGGGCCTTGCTTTCTTCACTTCCTTACTTTCTTTTGTGGCCATGAAATTCCCCAGACCATTTTCCCTGAATAGCTTGATTTTTTTTCAAATTTCATGTTTTTCCCCCTAATTTCCATGATAGCTAGAAAGTCAGGAAACAAGCAAAATATATTTCATATGGGTATTGATAGGACATGGGACATGGATTAAGATGAGAAGAAGGTATGATTTTTTTCAAATTCCATGTTTTTCCCCCTAATTTCCATGATAGTTAGAAAGTCTGTACAAGCAAAATATATTTTATATGGGTATCGATAGGTCAGGGTTTAAGATGAGAAGACGGTTTATTTCCTTACCTTACTGGTGATGAAGATATCTTCTCTCTTGACGACGTTTGCATCAAATTTCTCTTTGAGTCCCGCCCCCACCTCAACCTCATTGCCGTAGACGTGAGCACAGTCAATGTGTCGATACCCGCAATCAATGGCTGCTTTCACTGCCGCTTCAACTTGACCTGGCTTGGACTAAAAAATGAAAATAAAAAGAGAACTTTTTCATCTCTTCAGAGCCAAATGGCATTAAACATGTGTCATATTGATATGAGTAAACACCATTCTACCTCCAAACAGGCATTTAGTGTGATTTTTTAAAACATATCACATTCATTTTCTTACTTTAAATATCATTTCATAAAGTACCTTTGTAGAAGGTTGATATTCAAGATTTACTGATTATATTTTACTTACTTGAAAATGAGGTGCAACAAAGCATTCACACAATCTATTTTGTTCATACTGATTTACAATTCAGGTAATTTAGGGTCTATATTGCTTTTCAAAGATATATATTGGTTACAGTCTTTATGGAAGAAAAGACATAGCCTAGGCATATATTGCATGCACAAATCTGAATAATACACAATGGTATAGCATTCCTTAAGGAACCTTAAGGAACTGATCCAGAATACTAACTGATTTATCAAGTACATGTATACAAATCACCAGAGTGTCTTGTAACACACACTAATCAGTAGTCAGTGTAGATGTAACTTCATTTTATCTTAACTAAATAACCCACTTAAAGCCATGTAGCTTCTGTGATGATGATGATGAACAGCATTTGTATAGCGCCATTTATCTGCAAAAGCATTCAAAGGCGCCTGGCTCCCTGTGCTCATACAGGTTATGTAATAATCTCTTATAAAGCAAACATGATTCTTTGATCATTTGGAACAATATGCCCCAGTACTAGTAGGCATTCATAGAATCATAGTCATACTAGTATACACCTTTGATATACATGTATGTCTGTGTGTTGCCAATATCATATCATTAAAATGGAATGTGGCTTATAACTTTGTATTTTGTAATGTACCGGGACATGAACAAAGTCACATTCCACTGCACAGGCCAAAGGAAAAAAAGAAAAAGATCTGAAAATGACTGACATGATTCACTGAAAGAGAAAGCCATTCAGATTTGCACTCTTGCAACAATGATAAGAATCTAGCAAAAATTTAAATATTAAACTTTTTTTTTAAAGCATGGATTATAAAAGAGCACAAAAGCAATATTGGGGGGGGGGGGTGTTTCATAAAGCTGTTCGTAAAGTTACGCATGAATTTTCAAATTACTTATATATGAAAAGCCATATGGGATGCTCAATCATTATTAATTAACTGCATCAACTAAAGTTGAACTGTGCAGATGTAGATTAACATTCTTATTATAACAAACATTTTTAATGCAAAGTATATTTTTTGCCATAATTTAATTGAGGTTATTGGAAATATAGTCGCACATTGTTATTAAAACACAAAAACAAACTTTGGGCAACCTATCTGGCACTTCATATACAAGCTGTTCGTAAAGTCATGCGCAACTTTATGAATTAACAGCTTTATGGAACTACCCCCCGGCCCCGGGTATGCTTCATTCCATTACATGCATCACTCAGAGCAGCATTACTATACTTTGTGTGTTATATAATTTTTAAAGACATCCTGGCTATATAATTGCCAATGAAATTGCAAATATCAAAACTCGCGAAAAGTAAGTATCAAATTGGAAATGAGAAAAAAAAGCTATTCTTGTAACAATCACATATGTTTTTGCGTTTTCCAGTTTTCCGTGTGTGCGTCATTTATGTGTGAAGTCATCTGTTTAACCAAAAAGAGTCAATGCTAATGCGTATTAACCTCTAGCACTGCACTATGGGTTAATAGGCAGCATTTCCTTCTAGACAGCTACGTTCTCAAAACTCTGGCTTACTTGTTACTCCTAGGGTTAAAACAAAGTGGGGGGGGGGGGGGGGAGCGAACCTTCGCTCATGCTGGGCCTTCATTATGGTATACTCTCCCTCAATGGATTAAGAATAGCAGTTCTGCTGAAGTGTTAAAAAACAATCTTAAGAAATATCTGTTTAATTTAGCTTATAATTGATTACCATAACCTTTCATGTCTGTACCTTTCCTAGACCGAATTTTCCGTCTCTTTCGTTCGTTAGCCTCTTATTGGGGTAGGGTCTGCTCTCTCTTTAGAGACGGAAACCGTCTATACACATTCCCTTGATAACGCCACGGCCATTTCAGGTCGTAGCGTTTTGCCCCCAAAATCCCCCAAAATGTCATTTTACCTCGTGCATATCCACATGTAAATTAGGCCTAGGCTATAATACATCGGTTCCACTTACCAACTTGACTGAAATAATCAGTTTAATAGTCCCTTTTTAGGAAATTATGGGTCAAAATCGAAATCCATTTTGAAAATCTTTTTCAACATGGATTTCGATTTTGACCCATAAATTCCTAAAAAGGGACTATTAAACTGATTATTTCAGTAAAGTTGGTAAGTGGAACTGATTTATTATAGCCTAGGCCTAATTTACAATATAACATGCGCGAGGTAAAATGACATTTTGGGGGATTTTGGGGGCAAAACGCTACGACCTGAAATGGCCGTGGCGTTATCAAGGGAATGTGTATAGACGGTTTCCGTCTCTAAAGAGAGAGCCGGCCGACCCTACCCCAATAAGAGGCTAACGAACGAAAGAGACGGAAAATTCGGTCTATACCTTTCCTATCGCACTTTGTATAAATGTAACTATCATGTATGTATTTCATCTCTTGCACAAGCTGCGCCTTGAACATTTGACTGTCAAGTGGATTTAGCGCCTTAGAAATCATATGTATTATTATTATTATTATTTGAATACATGAATGAATAGTCAATACACTCACAACACACAAATGCACACGATCATGCCAATGCAGCTTATCGGCAGGTTTGAGTTTGACAGTGTCAGTAGATCTAGACTAGACTCACAATTTGAATTTTTGAATTATTCTTTCTAACATCGGAAAGTTGAAAATATTGTATTTTACTGCTATTTAGGTGTCATCAATCGTCACTAAAGTACTGATTTTTAGTGAAATCAGTTGAGTTTTGTACAGTGGTGTTTGAAATGTTGAGAATCAATAGCACAGCTTTTAATACACAGCCAGGATAGTAATGCACTATGCACCTAGATGTGTGCCTGATACCGGATGCGTACGCCTCTCTTGGGGGCAATAATAAGGGTGGGTGGGACTACACAAGCGCCCAATTCAATTGTCTTGAGTAGATTTATACGGTATTGATGTTGAGATGATAGATCACTCATGCTTCCCTGGATACTTACCAGCCATGTTCCCAGTCCTAAGATGGGCATCTTATTACCGTTGAACAAAGTAACAAATTTGTTTGCCGAAGCCATTGCAAATGATTAATTTTAGCCTCCAAATAGCAAAATTTTCGAGATCGTCGCGTCCGTTCGTCTGCGTTCGATCAGGTGCAAATAGAAGCTGTTGTTGTTGTTGTTGAAGCGATATATAAGCAGACAAATCAAAAATGAAAAATAATGCGTCTGAATAGGTAGTGCTACATATTTTAAGTTTAGGAGGAGGAGGAGGAGGAGGAGGAGGAGGGGGGAGGGGGAGGGGGAGGAGGAGGAGGAGGAGGAGGAGGAGGAGGAGGAGGAGGAGGAGGAGGAGGGGGAGGGGGAGGGGGAGGGGGAGGGGGAGGTGGAGGGGGAGGGGGAGGAGGAGGAGGAGGAGGAGGAGGAGGAGGAGGAGGAGGAGGAGGAGGAGGAGGAGGAGGAGGAAGAGGAGGAGAAAGGAAAGAAAAAAAAAGGATGAAATGAGCCTAAAAAAATTATAAAAGGAAATATTAAGAGAGGGAGATTAAATTGTGTTTTAAGGCCCTCACGTTCTGCCTCCACCTCCCCCTTCTACTGATGTTCTCTTTGGGGTTCAGCATTAATTTGCTTGTCATTTATCAATTTCTAAATACACAGCAGACTGGACTTTACAACTTCCATTGTTTTTAGATGATTTACCATGCTTCTCTCTAGCCATCTCACGCTTACTACTGTACAAATGCAAACCAAACATCTGAAATTAGTGGCCATTAGTCCAGTCCAAATTCTACATTTATTTGCAATATACGAAATCCACATACAAGTTTTGCTGATAAATTGTTATCCTGGACCTTACTTGTCCCAGCAACCAAGAGTTATATTGTCCTGGTTTTTAAAATAGGATGAATATCTCAAGTTTCTTTGCAGATTGAAAAATTAGAACCATGCTAACTCGGCACCAGAGCTTCCTTAATTGCTAGAGTTAGACCAAGTTCGCCAGAAGTGCTTGAAACAATTATATTTACATGAATTTTGCATCAAGAATGGGCTTTTTAAAATTTACCACAAACTTTGATTCAAATTTCAAAACTTGAACTTCTACAAAAACATGAATCAAGGGCTATTCAGGGGTCCAATGTACATCTAGCAGTTTATTTAGCTCTGGTGCCAGTTAATAGGATGCAAAAAATGTTTGGAAAGTACTTATTTACTACACCCCACCTCACCTCTAACCATAAAACAGCTGGATAAAAGGGGATACTATGACGGTGCATTATAAAAATGTATTCGCCTAATGCTTCAGATATTTTCTGTACTTATATTTAGAAATTTTGTAAATCAATTATAAAATGAAAACTTCTTTTTGACACAGTCTTTTGCTGCATTATGATCCATAACAAGTACATGTACTTTCTTTTGAGTTTTGCTAAATAAAATGTTAGTAAGATTCCTTCAAACTTGATTATGATGAATAAATAGAAGAAAATAAAATGAAGACAATAACAAAAAAAGAAATTAAGACAATGACATATGCCATAGAGATCCAAACTGTATTTCTCAAGAACTTACATATTCATTCAAAATGGGCATAAATATAGTAATCTTCAAATTAGTTTCCTTTCTTTACCCAACAAATTTAAAGATCTGTACTGAAAAAATCTAAGTACTAGATAACCACAACATTTACCAAATTCTTTTTTTTTTTTACTTGAACATGAAGAGAATAACTCCTGTTAATTACTCCAAATAGATGTACAAAATGTGTCTATTCTTCAATAAATCTACATATCTATACCACAAATAATGAAATATCACATGGTGAACATGTACTCTATAAAACTTATCAATTTAATTGTGAAACTTATAGAAACCTAGTTTCATCAATATCATGAAGAGAATAACTCCTGTTAATTAGTCCAAATAGATGTACAAAATGTGTCTATTCTTCAATAAATCTACATATCTATACCACAAATAATGAAATATCACATGGTGCACATGTACTCTATAAAACTTATCAATTTAATTGTGAAACTTATAGAAACCTAGTTTCATCAATATCAGCTATGGTATTCAAATTTTAAACCAGATTCTTGCTATGAAACAGGGAAGTAGAGGAACACGCTCAAACTAAGACCCCTTGTTATAAGCAATAACATTCAAAATACATGGATGGCATCCATCTTGCTGTCATGTTGGGAAAGGCCCAGGTTTTAACCGAAGAATATCTTTTAACTTTGAGAAAGTTACCTCATGAAATTTCATGAACATTCAAACAAATCATGACACTTCATCTCATACTGTAAAAGTTAGCATAATAAGGATAATACATTATGGTTCAACAAAGCAATCAGTTTTCCCCCTTAATACTTTACAAATGTAATAAAATTGACCCCCTAAAAATTACATGATTCTTAAAATAATCCCCTAAACCAACCAAATTTACCACAACATAATTTACATTTTTTCATTCAACCCATAAACATGTATATAGCCTTTAAAAAAAAAAGATAGTCTGTCAATGTATTTATCATACTGATGATTATTCCATTATTAAATGTTTTGACATAACTATTACCATGTACATTATGTTCCAATATTGTATGTTTAGTAATAGTTATTACCATGTATATTATGTTCCACTATGTTATTTTTGATAAAGTGGAAAAAAATATACTTGGGACTTGAGATATATAAGAGAGTAAATATGTGTTTTGACTAATTTGTTAAATTGGCTTGTAAAAGTGACAACATTTTGAAAATGTTCCTACTTCATTTTATTTCATCATTAATCAACCAATATACTATACAAAAACAAATTTATAAATTTGTTATTATCTTTAAATATATGCGTGTGTGTGTATAAGTGTTTACATTTTGTGTAGGATTATCAACCTATTTAAGTCTCTGTAACTTTTTGATGATCCAACCACTTAATAATTTCCTTTAGTGTATTTTCCCTTTTATTGGCTTATCCATGTTTGTAAGAAATATTTTACTGTATTCTTTGACTTCTGCCCGATTATCTAGGAACTGACATGTCAAGAACTATTAAATCTGTTCTATACCATTTAACAAAATTTTCAACATGCTAAACAATTCAAATAAAAGAAATACAATTATGAGTAATTCTCTAGGAGTCTTGTTTTAACAGGTATGATTGCTCTCAAATTAATATTAATAACTTAACTAGCAAAAGTAACAATATTCTATGAAATTGATAACCAATAATATACTCGAAATGACCCACATCATAGAGTTATATGATATACTTGATTTATAATCAAAGTAAATTTCTGCTTGTCTATAATACAACCATTATTGCTGATTAGTTCCTCTCTCACTTTGGTAAACATGAAAAAAAACAATTGTATATATAAGCTAATTTTAAGATTACAATTATGATAAATGGTTCTATTTTCACAATTATTTGTGATATGCACCAGCGGCTCACGAAAATAAAACTAAATTAAATCTCTCTAGACATAATCAATTTCAACGCATCTTTGCCTACTACCAAATGACCGATAAATATAAATTTATATCAATTAAGAGACCTTTCAATCACCATTCATTATTATAATTTTGTTTTCTTCATTTCTAGCTATTGATACATATATATATCATGAGAAATGTATCTTGCTCATGAATATATAAAACTATGATAGAAGCCTTCTAGAAAGTGACTGATGCAGTCCTCAAACATGCATCATCTCCACCGGTTACAAAAGATGCATTATCCAGCCAAACCACACAGTTAGTCGCAGCTCGTCCATGGACTTCTACAAATACAAAATATCAAAATAAATGTTGTTAATCTTCAGGTATAAATTGCAATTCTATTATTATTCTTTGAACTATTTTATAATGCTTGCACTTTCATTAGAGTGGTGAAGTGTGATGTCATAAAAAATCTATTTTTAGAATTTCTCAATTTTTCGAAAGAGCATCAAAAATAATGTCCAAATGTCGAAAACCAATTAAATATCTTAAGTATTGGCTGAGACATGACCATCTGAATAAATATATTTCCTAAAGGAACTCAGTATTATTTTGGTCTGGTTCATACCATTATGAACCAGAGCAACATAATTGATTCTCATTATACATATAACACAAAGGAAGAAAAAAAAGGTCTTTTGTGTCTCCCCAATTTTACTAAGAGACCTGACTAAACTGAGATATTGGATCTCATTTTCTGGTATGCTAATTTTGCTGATTGACACAATTTGAGCAACAGGTGAAAAGAAGCTTGAGGAATGAGGACACTTATCCATCATATCTCCACACACAAAACATGTATGCCCCAGGCCCCCCCCCTCCCCCCCCCCACCCCCACTTCTGCAACACCACCCCAGTAGTAATTTGTGACCCAAGATGGCTCCTGAGAAAACGAATACCAGTAACTGTTTTGTTCCAATGCTCTGGAGAGGGTTTTGCTGTTGTTGTTGTAAAAGTGCATCTAAACATTTTCAAAATTGCAGTAAGGAATCTACAATTCTCCTGAAGGAGGGGGCTGGCAGCAGAAGAAAATGATGAAATAAAAGTAAATCAAATCAAGGGTGCTTTTCAACTCAAATATTAAAACAAACAAAAAAGATTGTAAAGAGAAAACAAACTAAAGATGAACTTACTCATCGCCTGGATGGGATTTGGTTTCTCCAGACCCCACACATAGACAGAGCCATCCAAAGCAGTGGTTGCGTAATGCTTGCCGTCAGGGCTCCATGCAAGGTCTGTTATCTTGGCGTTATGCTTGTAATTTTTGCGATCCAAATCCTGCACAGGTAGCAAGAAAAGATAATAGGAAGAACAATGCATGGGGTGTATTGTCCAGCCAACAGATCAAATGATTTTGGTATACATTTTATTAAAAACGAGGACTTACCCGGTAGGTCTCATACGATGAAAGTGCTTAAAAATATTGATTATTCCTCAAATCACATAACAGAACATTAGAATTCGGGCATCACAAATGGACGGTAAACTACACACCACTATTGCACAAAAAAGCTGGGGAACTATTCTGATAACTATGGTTATATATTATTTCAGAGAGAATCATTTCAATTGTCATAACAAACTGTAATTTTATGGAATTAACTGTTGTCATGGGTACTGTGCAGATGTCCCTTGTAACATTAAGCTAACAGTCAACTTTGCACAACTTTGAAATTTTAAAGAGGGGAAAAAAAAAGAAAAAAAACGTAATGCGACATTGCATAAAATGGATACAAAGATCGGAAAATAGAGTTGGTGCATGGTGCGACTTCAGCTGGATGCGCAATTGCGTTCGCGGCAGCTCTGTAACGGTCCCTTCTTTTACTTTTTAGCGATGCATTGGCACGAACTTAGATCAAGATCTATCGGCAGATGTTGTTTTATGAAGTTTATTTTCGCCTTCATGTCAACAATGCAAGATAAAATTGTTGGTAAGATGTGTGGAAATGTCCTGTACCATAGTGGTATAGTAATTGCAGTCCCATATGTACAAATTTGTATGAGAAATGTGAAAATTGAATTCTGATATGAAAGTTTTGATCCTTACTTGAGCATAATCACAGTGGTGATGGTAGACCTCAACAGCCTTTGAAGCGCTGGCTACAGCTAGGTATTCACCACCGGGTGAATAGCGACATCTTGTTATAGCTTCACAGTGGGCTTTGAAGGATGTCTTCTCTGTCAGAGTATCACCGGCCAGAGTGTAGACATGAATATTGCCCATCTGAAAAAGAAGAAAATAAAAACACAAGATAAGCTTGAGTTCTGGTAAAAAAAGAGAAAAAATTCTCACAGAATCAAACGAAACTTACACTGAATGTTCAAGATTACAAATAAATGTCATTTGCCAAAAACAATTGTGGTAGAAAATGTATACTGGCTGAGTACTGAGCATAGAAAGATAAGGAAATCAAGGTAAGCTAGCCCCGAAACCATTTGTGTAGTCCCATATACATCTTTCTGTGTACAGTGCTTGTTATTTTACCAAGGCTGGGCCAAATTTATCATGATTTTGATGACTCCAGAACCATGCAGTACACACCAATACTTACACGCTACATGATCAACTTTTTCTGATCCATTCCACACCTTTTTTTTCACAATGCAATCGCATGACCAGAGCTCAACTTTATCTTTAAAGGTAGATGCTAGATGATCAACCTTTTCTGATCGATTCCACAACGTTTCTTTCACAATGCAATCGCATGACCATAACTGATCTTTACCTTTAAGAGTACAGGCCAAAGTTCTGTTAGTGTATTTAAAGAGTAATTGCCACTTTTGTTTGCATTAAATATACACAATAGTGGGCTCTCATGGGCAATTCGACAGTGTTCAGGTGTTTACCCAATAACAGATGTTGTCAATCACCAGGATTATCCTTTTTATGAAGAACATGCCTCGTGTAATACCTCACTTTTCCCCTCATCCGAATACTCTCCAAGAGACTAAGAGGTATTTCTTGATAAGCCAAGGGTTCGCTGCGTGCAGACTTGCACACTCATTAATGGCATTTTCACAAAGTCTGGTGTCAGCGAAATATGGCCTTATGCACATGGAAAATGAAGACCCACTCCCTTTACCGGAGGGTACCTTACTATAGGTTTTTGGAGCTCCAATCACTCTGGATGAAATATTTTGATTTCATCAATAAAATACCGGTTGAAATGTCCAATCTTCAAATTTGAAATGCACTCTTATTGTGTGGTCTCACTTTTGAAACTTTCAAAAACTTGTTGTCTTTATCAGTCAAATTTCCTTCCAATTTTCACCATCCCATTTATTTTCATATGATTCAACTTATTTACAAAGGTTGGACTGCCCTTTAATAAGGTTTGATAACGGTACAGGGGCATCTCCACCCAGGTATTAAATGGGTACTCGCAGGGGAGGATCCACGTAGCGATTATTCCAGCCTGGGCCCCCCTAGCCCCCCAAAACGATAAAAAATAGGATAATAACGTAAAGTTAACCTTTATAAAAAAAAAAAAGGCGCCCCCCCCCCTGCTTATTCGCCGGCCAGCTCGGCACTAAATTTTGTGTTAAGATTTGGCTACCCCCCCCCCCTTGACGCCGTCTGGATCCTCTGCAGGCGCGGATCCACGGGGGGGGGGGGGGCTGATGGGTCAACAACAACAAAACAAAAAAAATTCTCACGAATTAGGTGAAAAAAACAAAAAAAACACTTATATACCAATTGAGTTGGCGCAAAATAGTTCCTGAAAAATTGGACCAAAAAAAAAAAAGTGCCTCCTACCCCCCCCCCCCCCCCCCCCCCCCCCCCCCCCCCCCGCGCTTATTCACCGGTGGCTGAGTCGCAACTAATATTTTCTCACGGATTGGGCCCCCCCTCTTCCCGCTGGCTGGATCCGCCACTGGGTACTCAGTAGGATGCGACCGTCATTGTTGGTCAAACAGTTTTTGAGTGTCGAGTAATGCCTGGCTGGAATGCTCCCCGGTTAGTGGAGATTGTGCGGGCAAGTATTGAATCTAATGACCGGGGTATATCTGTAAAGCGCTTAGAGACATCATAGATGTATTAAGCGCTATATAAAGTGGAATATTATTATTATTATGACTGAGGCGGTACAGCTAGTCATCAATGCAATATGCTGTGTGGAGTATGGATTATTCAAGACCCTCAAAATTGTAATGGTTGCTTTTGAACCAGGGGTGATAGTAAGCACTAAAAAAAATTGTTTTACCCCCTCCCCTCCCTCTTGAGTAAAAATTGTCATTTGGGAAATTGTGGGTAAAATCAGGAGAGAAAAAAAGAATTGTGGGAAGAAAAAAAAAACAGAGACTGATTTAAATGGGGTAATTATCAGGCCTGTTTTGAGCTCACCTCATCACCAATGGCGACCTCTGATTGGTTGGGATGTATGTCAACGGCTGTCCCATTGTAGGTCACTTCCAGTACTGAAGCTTTGTTGGAACCCCGAACAATAGTCACCTGCACAACAAACAAATTCAATTCAATTCATTTATTTCCCATTAAAATTCAAAGTAAACAATACATAACAAATGAACAGTAAAATCGGAAGGACCCCAAGATAAGCAAAGCTTGTGAGAATGGGGCCCTGTACAAAAATAAACATACAAGCAAATTATGATAACAAATATTGTAAAACTTATCAAAACAAACATACACCCACCCTCATTCATTCACATGCACACAGACACTCCAACACACACCAAAGGCAGAACATTGTACAGACAAATCTACTCATCATATGAATGAACAGCTGCGATGCTTGTGTAGTCAAGGAGGATCTCTTGGGTATAGTCAAACCTGTCTATAGTGACCGCCCATGGGAAACACAGAAAGTGGTCCTTGTAGACAGGTTCCTATACCGGTAGTACATGTTACAATGAGAAACCTTTTTCAAGGAAAAAAAAAAATGTGGTCTTTGTAGACAGGTGGCCACTATAGCAGGTTTGACTGAACTATCCGTTTGTCATTGACTATTACATTGCGAGTAAACATTCGACATAGATGTTCCTAACCATAATTTTATTTACTGTTATTTTATGGTTGAATCAATAAATACAAATACAAGATTCAAGCGCATGTGCAATATGAAAAATTTGCGCATGAAACAAGCTTATATCCTGGCAATTTTTGTTTACATTCCTCACAACATTCATGTTTACTTGCATTTTGAAATGGCGCCCATGTAAAAGTGAAAAGATGCATTGCTGAACAGCCGTGTTGGAAGCATAAGAGTTATATGATACATTGTGTGCGGGTAAGCCTGAATTCGATGACCGGGGTAATAATATATCTGTAAAGCGCTTAGGCGCATCGTTGTATTGATCTATCGGGTGCTATATAAAAAAAAGCGGATTATTATTATAATTTTTTTTATTATTATCTAAGTTTTATCCTTGCCAGATGGTATTAGAAGCAGTTACGCCATATACAGTAAAGGAAAGAATCATATCAAATAGAAATGCATTGCAATTCATTGAATGTTTTTGATACAGACATATCCTAAGATGCTATTCCCTTAAATTTGTAAAGATTGGGAACAAACAAAAAAAAACAGACAAAAATGAGAAAGTTATTTAGTTATTTAGGACTTTAACTGTTTTTTGCCAACAATTTTAATAGTCAGTAATTCAAATAATAGTGTAAAGTTAGAAACAAAGATACAAAATCGTCTTGATATCTGTGAACTAAAATATCATATATATATATTTTATTTTATTTTTATTTTTTTGTTGGGGGGGGGGGGGAGGGGAGGGCTTACCCAAACTGCTCATGGCCATTAATATGCAAAAGAAAGTTGCCAATCTGAGGAATGTAGGGAAGAAAAGGATCCTTACCTTTTGGATACCACCAACAACAGTGAGTCCCCCTGATCCTCTACACACTGACTGAGGCTGTGAGTCAAGACCACACGAGTCATCCCTGAAAAAACATAGCATAGTGTACATATTCCATGAAAAAGAAAAAAAATAATAATCTTACAAATTATCAGAAATCTGTCAAAAAATAGTTTGGTTGAAGGGAATAGAGACAATCCGCGTGTTTCCATTAGTTATACTAAATTTATCCAGTTAATATATTTTCCAGAAAATAGCGTATAATGCCAGGAAAGGGCAGTTTCTATCTACGCGCATTATCGGATAAATACACTGCTCCGATTACGTGGGTTAAAAGGCCGTGAATAAGAGTTCATTGAACTTTGGTTAAAGTCACTGCAAAGTATTGTGGGACTGCTAGGTCAACCTGGGATTTTAGTGTCACGCGCGTCGGGGTAAAATATTCCGATCACGTGATCACTCCTATTTCAGGTTTCTCTCCACTATGTGCACTCAATCGGAACGGCGTAAGTTTCTACGTTTCTATCCTTCTAAAAGAAGGATAATTTTGCCCCTGAACACGTCACAGCTCTCACAGCCATTATCCGGATAATGGCGGAGAAGGTCAGTTTCTATTAGGCAAAATCTATCCATTATCATCCATTAACCGGATAATGGCTTCTAATAGAAACACGCTGAATGAGAAAGATAGAGAGAGAGAGATACTGTAAATTCAGGACATTTTGTGAATGGTCGCAATTTGCAAAAATTCTCTGCCGGAAAATAATTGAACAACAACACAGAATTGGAGAAATTTGTAAAATTTTGTTGCATGAGGAAAATTTCAAGAAAATTTCATATGACTATGACTCACATGTACTCTAATGTTTGATCGTCAATCAAGCGCATGGTGTCATCCATACCGACTGTGGATAGTTTGCCCTCCTTGTAATCAATCTGGGTAATGAGCGTGGGTTTTTTCCTGCCCTCTACAGTCTTTGCAAGGCCAGTCTTACTATCCCACCAAGGTGCAACACAGGTTAAGGAATTTCAACCTGAAAACAAAGATCTTAGTACACAATTTGGGATGAAATTATAAGAATTACTAGTCAAAAAGAGAACAATAATATAACTATTTAAACATATTTGTGGCTTACACCCAGTAAATAAGATTGATTGATCAATCTGTATTGAAAAACAAGTCAGAAGAAATCTTGGAACCAGTGGGACTTTTTTTTCTGACTTGTTTTTCAATACAGATCGATCAATCGATCATATTGACTGGGTGTAAGCCACAAATATGTTTAAATAATTGAAATTTATCCCAGGAAGCATTAAATTTATAAATAATATAACTGTCTGCCCATTTGAAAAACGTATTGGGGGTTAAAGATGATAAATTCTTAATGTATATCTTAAAGCTAAAGACCAGTTATGGTCATGCGATTGCATTGTGAAAGAAACGTTATGAAATCGATCAGAAAAGGTTGATCATCTAGCATAGATGTACTGCAAGGTTCTGGAATCATCAAAATGATAAGAAATTTGGCCAAGTCTTCATAAAGTTAGAAGCACTGTACACAGAAAGATGTATATGGGACTACACACACGTGCACGTCACGTGCATTTCATATCTCTCAACAGGCGAGAGATACACTCATTTACCAAATATATCAATTAGTAGGCGGTTTCCCGTCAAATTTTTTATCATCATGTAATATTCAAAACACCTTCTTTCACATGATTGGTAATAAGAGCTTCCATTTCATTTTTTGAAATTGGGGCGTTTCCAATACTGGTCTTTACCTTTAATCTGCTGTTTAAAAGTTATGTTTATAATTGTAGATTAAGAGGGATGTCTCCAAACTTGGATGATTTTAAGGCACTTGTGAAGTCCAACAAAGATTTAGAGTATAGAATAACCTAGAATAGACATTTTCGAAAGAGGAGGATAGACCTTAACTGATGTTTGATGATGTATAAACAATTGGTCTAGAATCAACTTTAGACGTCATCATCCAAAAGACACAAATCATTTTCAAACCTGGTTTTGATAAGAGTCGGTTTTTAGGTGGAGACAGAGACCAGACTGTACCATGGACATTACCGCTAGACCAGTTTATTTAACCCTTTTCCAATTAAATAAGAGTTAAAATTGACTAAAAAGGATATTAGTGACTCCATCGTAGCTCCCAGCAAAGACTTTGCTTCTATCCTCATTGACGGCTATTGACACGATTCTCTTTTGATGACCCTACAAAGGAAGAAAAGAAATCCATTTCTGAAACTATGGGGGGGGGGGGCTGTTTTATTTTCTTGCGATTGCCCAATTTCTTCTTCAAATTGGCACTGTAGTTGGGAACTTCACACCAACATGAAGAACTTATAGATGATTTTCCTTCTAAATTAATTTCAAGAATGATGCATTACATATTGAGAAAAAAAATGATTGAAGTGTGCATTATAAGCATTTTGTCATTACATACATGTATATGCATACATGCCAACATTTGAAAATCAGAAATCTGTACAAATTATGCTATTTTCAAAAAAAAGAGGAACAATCCCAACTCTCCTATTCAATACTACAGACAAATTTGTACAGGAAGAGGAACACCTGCATTAAAATGATAATTATCTTCTCCCAAAAAGAGGAATGTTCCTCTTTAATCTGAACAGTTGGCATGTATGGTATATGGTGTGTCCTATAGAAGTATTACAAGTGAGGCCAAAGCACCAATGTATGACTTTGTCTCAACTTTGATCAAGTTTTGTTTATCTTTTATAGTCAGTAAATACAGGCTGAAACCTTAGCAAGGGCAAATTTTAGATATTGGACTAGTTAGTACAGTACTTACACATATATCTATACACAGCTGTAATTTGATTGCTATTAATTTTGCACATGTTGAATCAATTACCTAGATCTAAGAGAAAACTATGAGGATATTTTCAGAGTGAGTTTTAAGAAAAAAAATAAATAATAATTATCATCTTCAGAGTATCTGGATAAATGTGCCAGATTAAAAGGGATTATAACAGTAATGATCGTTATATTCATGGATATAAAATTTAAAAATTACAATATTAACAGTACCTGGATAAATGGGCTTGATTAAAAGGGATTATAACTGTAATGATCATTATATTCATGGATATTAAATTAAATAATTACAATATTAACAGTACCTGGATAATGTGCATTATTTTAACAGATGATGAGAGTCAAGATAGTCAATGGTCATATATTAGATAAGAAATTGCAACATTTACAGTTCAAATTTACCTGGACGATTCTGCATGGTTTAGAAGGATCATTGGGGTCCAGATAGTTGATATTTCCACTGAGAGATAGAGAGAGGAGGAAGTCTCCCTGCCACAAGCAACCCAACTGCTGATGCTCAAGGTCAGTACCAAAAGTGAACTCCCTAAAAATAAAAAAAGGGAAGAATATTTTAATTGAAAATCCAATCTTAAAGTTAAAGACCAGTTTTGGAAATGCCCTCCTCTCAAAAAAAATGAAATGGAAGTTCTTATTACCAATTATGTGAAAGAATATGTTTTGACTAATACGTGATGATACTAATTTGGCCAGGAAACCGCCTACTAATTGATATATTTGGTAAATTATTATATCTATTTGGACCTGATAGATATCGCGCACCTGTCGTGTAGTCCCATACATCTTTCTTTGTACAGTGCTTGTCACTTTACCAAGACTGGGCCAAATGTCTTATCATTTTGATGATTCCAGAACCTTGCAGTACACACCAATACTTATATACTAGATGATCAACCTTTTCTGATCGATTCCATAACGTTTCTTTCACAATGCAATCGCATGACCAGGACTGGTCTTTAACTTTAACAGACAGATTCTCTGAAAGAAAACAGGTAGAATTAGAGAAGCAGGTTGGTTAAAGTTAGAATGAAATTGGACAAAAAATATGAGAGCCATGAATTTGAAAATTGTAATCCCTATAGGTATGAGCAATTGAAATTGGTTGAATCCGTAATGTCACTGTGACAAAGTGCAGGAGAACTCTCCAATCTGCTCTGTATAGAAGATTTCTTAAACTTTCATTTTCTTAGTTATTGATGACGGAATAGATTTTGTTCATACGAGAGTTGTATAAAAACTTATTTGTAATAATTAAATCTAGGGTGAATGTATGATTGAAAGTTTTCTTAACCCTATTTTAACTGGGCTATTTCAGACCAGGTTTTTACTGGGGGGGGGGGTCAATTTGACCCCCCCCTAAGATCTCGGCCGTTTCACCGCCGATCGCCGCGAAAATTTGCATGCACGTCAAGTGAAGTGTATAGAATACTATGGTAATTTCAAATTTTTGAAAAATTCACTCATTTGCATATTTATGGTAATTTATGCAAATAAGGTCATCAAATTCACATTTCTGCCCCTAAATCATAGATTATTCATGTTTTAAGTATTCTTTTTCACTACATATATTTATTACACCATTTGGAATAATAAAACAACACAAAAAATTGGAAGAGCCAGGTTATTCCTTATGTTATCTCTTGTTTTTATAATTTCTTATGTATTTCATTGTTTTTTTAACTTATGTATTTTATTGTTTTTGTTGTTTTATTTCATTTATAACTAAAATTCGACTATTTTGACCCCAAAACAAACATCTAAACTTTAAACAAGACTGAATAACCAATGTTTTATCTATTTTTAGGAAAAATGACTTTTACATATGTTTTGTACACAAATCACGAGAATGAGCGATTTTCGGGCTGACATGCAAAGACAAAAGGTCACGTGACCTTCTAACCGTAGGTCTGATTTTCGAAAAAATTGTTTTAAAAGATGCGTAAGACTCGAAAGTAAAAAGTCATGAAAGGAAAATTTTATATCTGCCGCGGTTTCGGAGTAGTCGCGAAATTTCTACAGGGGGGGGTCAAATTGACCCCCCCCCAGTTAACATAGGGTTAAGGGGCACGTTCCCGCCAGTGTAGTTATCGCTGCTCTAGTCATCGCCATCTTGGTTCCGAAGATCGACTTCTCATTTGCATACAGCTGTCAATCAAAGTACGCGCGGCCTGGCCTGCCTTTGCCAAGCCAGCTGATCGCTGCCGATAGTGACGTCACGAAAGTGAGTGGAAACGGCAGCCGAATCTTAGAGCCGAACTGCGATTGGTATGACTTCGGCACATGTATGCGATAATCGGCATTGTGCGGGCATTCGGAACATGCCATCTGCGTAAGGGCCATATTCTGTAGGTGTCAATAGGCAGCTAGCACCATCCGCCAGCGGGTACGTATTTTGAACGCCCTCTGGAATACGGGGAACATGCCTCTTTAAGGGAAAATATACATTTTTGAAGTTTTTGAGCACAGGGCAAATGGGAGGTAAGCTTGCAAGATACTTCACAGAGTTGCCAATTTGTGTTTGATTGATCGCACCTTCAAAAATTCATAACTTCCTTATTTGTAATCACTTTTTACTCAAAACTGTTAATGACCTGTTTCTCTATTTTGCCTGTTTCTATTAAAATCTACTTTATATCAGGGTGAACTTCCCCTTTAAGTTGTCATCAAATTGTATATTTTAACTTGGTCCTGTAAAAGATTTAGTAGGGTTATTAACTTAACACAATTATCAAGTATACTAATAGGAACAAGGCACGAATATAACGAGCGCTGATTGGCTGTCAAAAGTAATGGTAAATTAGGCTAATGCCAGCCGTTTATACCAGGAAATCGCTAGAATAATACGAGTGTCCGAACAAATTCTTTCTGTCTGCATAGAAGCGGGTCGGTCAACTGAATGTATGTTGCTTCGAGCATGCGCAGATGAGTAAAGTTGCCGAGCGAGAATATAAATATACTAATATCTTATAAGTGGTCTGTGATGTACTAGATGAAATAGTTTGGACTTGCCCTGGTGTACGTGTCGGGAGACCCATTCCTGATATTGGTTTTACTTACGTGACAGCTTGGCCAGTTTCCACATCCCAGATCTTGGCCGTCTTGTCTGCTGACGATGTCAGAATCTTCTTGCTATCATCACTCCAGGAAATCTACATCAATCAGGAATAATAACAAAATACTAATTAGGAATACTACTACTTCTTCCACCACTACTACCACTACTACTACCACCACCACCACCACCACCACCACCACTACCACTACTACTACTACTACTTCTACTACTACTACTACTACTACTACTACTACTACTCCTACTCCTACTACTCCTTCTACTACTACTACTACTACTACTACTACTACTACTACTACTACTACTACTCCTACTACTCCTACTACTACTACTACTACTACTACTACTACTACTACTACTTCTTCCACTACCTCTACCAGTTACACTACTACTACTACCACTGTTAATAGGACTAGGACTACCACTACTACTACTACTGCTACTACTACTACTAATTGTCTTACTAATTGTCATCATCATCACCATTACCATCACCATTAACACTTTTACCATCATCACCATAATTAACTTTTTTTTTACTACCATCATAATTATAACCACCATCATTATCATCATCATTACCATAACTATCCACCATCACCGTTTCGTAAAACAGCAGTAAGACTAAGTCATTGCTTATCGTATAGTTATACAATTTTTGTAAAGCCATACAATAAATGTTGGTAGTGTGGTAACATAAATGTTGGGACTATTATCCTTACCCCATAAATACTTCCAATGTGAGCTTTTCCTTTTTCTCTTGTTTCTCCTAGATCTTTAAGAAGCTCACCCTGGTCCCCACCACGTAGGAATAACTGTAGATTAAAACAAGAAATAAAAGAATGTTTTTAGCTTTTCTTATAGAACAGAACGTTATCCCTAGCTGCCACAGATAATGCATACATAGAGGGGTTAAGAGAAAAGTCATGAGAGTCATAAAGAGTTCCAACTTTCAACCATTTAAAGATGAAACTGAGAGTTCTGGTCATATGATTGCATTATGAAAAAGCCTGGAAATGATTAGCAAAGGTTGATTGTATAGCAGTGCACACAAGTAGTGGTGTAAACTGGGAGGTTTTGGAATCATCAAAAGCACTCAGTTTTGCTGGACGTCACATGCATTGTACACAGAAATGTGTTCAGGACTTTAGACATGACATGAGAGCATGATCCAGACACTTCCGCTTCTTGCTTCTTCCTAAGTCATCATCTTGATTACATTTAGGTTACCGCCAGTGTCAAATACGCAGAGCTAAGACAATGCAAACAATGGGTCTTGGCAAGCACGCATGGTTGCGCAAGAAGATAAATGTTGTACATATATGTGATATAAACAAAATGGTAGGAGGGGTGGGGTGTAGGAGGGGTGGGGTGAAGGTGGGGTGGGGTGAAGGAGGGGTGGGGTGACGGAGGGGTCGGGTGAAGAAGGGGCGGGGTGAAGGAGGGGCGGGGTGAAGGAGGGGCGGGGTGAAGGAGGGGCGGAGTGAAGGCGGGGCGGGGTGAAGGAGGGGCGGGGTGAAGGAGGGGCGGGGTGAAGGAGGGGTGGGGTGAAGGTGGGGTGAAGGAGGGGCGGGGTGAAGGAGGGGCGGGGTGAAGGAGGGGCAGGTGAAGGACGGGTGGGGTGAAGGAGGGGTATCTCCTGTCTTACCTTTCCATCTGAACCTCCTGAGACAAACATTTCTCCGTTCGGTGCATACCTGACTTTCTGCACAAAGTTATTGTGTTCCTATACAACAACAACAAAAACAAAAAATCATTTGCAGACCATCAATTTGAAAACAGTGTGTCTACAAGAGTAAATACCTGTAGGCCTTAAAAGAATGATGGAATGTTTGTCCTTTATTAATTAATGAGAACCTACATACAAATCGTTGGGGCTTATCTTCTAAAAAGGATACACCTTTTATGCTACCCTAAATCTAGAATTTCTCACGGCAAATTTAGGAATATAGTATTCATTGAAGGATATTTGCAGATGTTTCAGAAAAATAAAGGAACCCAAAATGGTGTGGAACTTTATAAATTCAGAATCAATTCTCTAGAGTGTGAATGGTTGATAGCTACAATCTCTCAGATACAAATACATCAAAAAATTGATAGATGATGATTTCTTTACAACCTAATAAACAAGATGGGTCTTTTATCAGAAAATAAAGAGCAAATAAAATGATTGGCTCACATCTTAAGTAATTACACCTTTCAAACAGAATAGGACCAAATAATATGTTGTCTAAATCTTGTCATTATCCTTCCATAACTCACCTCGAAACATATCTGGTTCACAATTTCCTGGATTAAATTAAGTACCATGTAACATTTAGAAATGCATTTAAATGTTCCAGAGTACTAGAGAGAACATATATACAGTAGAGTGAGAAAGAGAGAGAGACTGGAAGAGAGAGGAAGATGGTTCGTTTTTTAACAGCTCTAACCAAGAGCAGCTCAAGTACTGCATGACAAACTAACCTGATACTGACTCTTATATTTGAATGGTGGTCCTTCGAAGAGTTTAACAACATAACTATCTGCTCCAATGACGGCCCGATAAGGCCTCTTCTGTCTCACGTCACAGGTGCTTGTCCTTCCAAGCGTGCTGATTGTTCCGCAAGATGTTCCAGTGTCCACTATCAAGGCAGCTCCACCACTAAAAATATATAAAATACAAAAAAAGGATGTGTGACTGTGAATGTGAAGTTGTGAGCTCTAATGAATTCATCCATTGGGGCACACATTAGTACATACTTTTACTTTGTGTATGGCCCTCCTGGCTTTGGCATACATGTAAAGTCTCTTGAACCCAAAGTACATTCATGTCATCTTTTTATGATTACCGGTAGTAATACTTGATGTTAGTTTGAATAAAGTCTGTTCAATGGTCAACGTTTTCAAGGATTGTAACATTGATAATTTGATAAAATTGATAATTTTTGTCCAAAATCAGGCCAAAAATTGATTATGTATACTTGACATTCTTCTTCTTCTTATTATTATTACTATGATCATCATCCATCATCATTATTACTATTATTAACATTATTAACATCATCATTAGTATTATTATTACTATAATATCATTTATCATTCTCATTATTATTATTATTATCATTATTATTATCATTATTATTATCATTATTATTATTATTATAATTGACATTATCACTTTTATTACTATAGTATTATTGACTTTTCTACTGACTTACTTTTCACGACCCTCCCCTACCACCACAAGTCGCTTGCTATCCTCAGTCCATGCCATGTCCATGATGGGACCAGATATAGGTTGGTATTCCTTAACTTTAGCTTCTCCAATATTGTTAGGATCCCATATCTTCAACATACCACGCTCATCTGGCAATTGCAGCAAAACAATGTTCTTGGTTAATTATAGTTATACAAAAATGCTTCTTTGTTCATGAGTGTTCTTTTAGGTTTTCTTGAAAGAAGAAAAGTGAGATTTATGGATATTAGTACATTGTATTTTTGTAGGTTCATAGTTAGACGACCACATAAACTTCTGCTTAGAGCTTTCCAGGGTTGAATTGCTCACCGCTCCCATACTTTTTATTTTCCACTCCTGGATGTACAATATCCCACACCCTTATACTACCATGTACATCTAAGAATGTCTATGGATTTTATACAGTATCCCATATCAGCACCTTCCATGGTTATCTGAGAGAAACAGCAAATGAACTCACTAAATGGATTTACAGTTTCTTGAACCATCATTAAACTATTTATTCATCAGAGAGCTACAGCAAAACAATGAACATGGATTTACAAAAATACATACCATCACTTTATCAAGTTCCTCTGATCAAGAAAAACCAGCAAAGTACATGGATTGACTATAACCCATACCCTAACATTACCACATTCAGCTGGGCATTACAACAACAGAATTTACAAACATGGGTTTACAGTTACCCATAACATCACATTATCATGAGTAACAAAGTTCCTATCCTCTAAGGGGATTTTCTTAACCTGTTTACTGAAATTGCCTTCATTTATTGTTTTGCTATTGTGACCATGGGTATGCGTATGAGTAACTGCGTGTTTTTTTTTTTTTTTAATATCGCAAAATGCACAACATATCTGTCTCTAATACAACGATTCACATTTATTTAATAAACAAAAATAACAGTTAAACAATTAGACAATTTTAGTACTTTTTATCTCAAAGCCTTAAAATGTTATCTATCACAAGCAAAATCTGAGACTGTGTTTATGAATGAGTGCAGACATGGGAGCCTTTGTGTTTGCCTTCATTCCGAGGCACCTGGACACGTGTTATGTAATGTCTATCTACTCACCTGCAGATGCAACGTAGTATCCACTGGGTGCCCACCTAGCACTCGTGGTAGCGCGAGCGTGATCATTGAAGATCGTCACTTGGGTAGGATCCTAGCGTAAATAAAAGCAAATGGTTCAAACGGAAATCAAGTTAGTGATTCGGACAGTTATCAAATTTGCTTCTAGAGTGACATTTCAAAAGGAAATCCAATCTTGATAGCAAATTACTCTAGAAGAAAGCACAAAAGTCAGAGAGGCATACTGGTGAAAGTCTGAATGAAATTGGACACAAAATGAGAAAGTTATGAGTGTTTAATAGTTGTAATCACGATAATTATAGGCTCTTCAAATTGGCTGAACCGGTAATGTCTCTGTGATATAGTGGTGGACAACTTCCCATTTCTTCTAGCACACAAAAATATTCAGTTTTTAATATTTCAAAAATGTATGACTCCGGATGGTCTTTTCTTTTTAGATGACCTGTAATAATATACTCTCCAAATCATATTTTGAGTAGTGTCCTAAGGATGAAGGCATTTTTGCACACAACAAATGAGATTTGAACAAAAGATGGCTGCCATGCTAATTATGGCTGGCCAAGCATATTTATTTACAGATATTGTGCTATGTGAGTAGTTATGCAATGTATGACAAAACAAATGATTTGTATCACTTTAGAAGCTATTCAAACAAAATTTATATCACAGGCTTTTTTTTTGGGGGGGGGGATAAAAAAAAAGAAGTAAATAGTAAAAAAAAAAAGAGGCAGCGGCCAAAAAGGAGGCGGACAGGGACAAGTAACACTTCATTTTTGTTATTTGGCCTTAAATATTTTAATACCTGTGTGTTGTTCTGCGCTGGGCAATGAACAACAGCGCCAGCTACAACAAAGTTCTGAAAAAGCTTGCAGCAAGTTGGCGAAAGTATACCAAAACAGTTACTATTTACACTGAAGAAAGAACTGATTTATAACATTTCATCGCCAATCTGGGACCCGTTTCACAAAGCCTGTTTTCAATGACAAATGACAAAAATCTGTGACAAATCTGCTGATGACCAATCAGAAGCAAGGATTTCAGTAGCTTATAACAAAAACTGTCATTTGTCACTGATGACAAGTTTTGTGAAATGCCCCCCAGATGAACCTCTTAAGTGTTTTAACAGAGCAGATTGTTATCTTACCTCAATATCTCTGATAATGACGTTGTTACCGTTGAGATATAGCATCTTCTTGCCTTTGGGATCCCCCTCGAGACATGTTTGAGCTCCTCGAACAGTACCTGGATTACTGCTCCAGATACCCGCTGAAATTTAAATATATGAGAAAGAAAAACAACAATTAAATCTGCATCATTGCTCTCTCATGATATTCATATGTCCATGTAGGCCAGGTCTAATTTGAGGCTAGGTCTAATTTGAGGCAAATTTGAGGCAAAGTAGAGGCGCACGTACAGCCAATATGGGAGACTTTATTGTATTATTGGGAGGCTGTCTCCAATGTCGGAAATGTATGTCAAGATTTTTGATAGCCTTTTTGAGGGGCCTAGGCCGCGCATGAACATTCAAGCCGAGAAGCCTGTTCAATGTACCAAACCAAGCTGGCTAGAAGATACACACATAACGTCTGGAATCTCCGCAAAATTCAAAAAATTGAATAGCGTCAAATTTTTGTTTTACCATCTCTTTTCTGCTTCCATTTACCGGTAATTTTGTAAATGCAACTTGAATTTGGCATAAATATTCATAAATGAATGATACACGCCGTAAAAGCTAAAACAACGACAGGTCTCCCATAACCTAGTCTAGACCTCGACCTAGATCTATTTCCTTTTTATCTACATTTGCTACAAATAGTTTCCTCAGCTGAAAATAAAAATATGAAGAAAAGATTTCTCATGAAAAATAACCTACTTTGACTGCTTACTTTAAAGATTCACTGTCTACTTTTTGTTCATAACAACACTCAACAGTTATTTATAATCCACACAACACAAAACCAATATGTCAGTCAAAGAGCTAAGCTGAGAGTGAGACTACCGAGCTCCGAGATGTCACAATATGGCTGGGGGGAGAAAAACAAAAAGTGTAGAGTAATCTAAGCTGAGAGTGAGACTACCGAGCTCCGAGATGTCACAATATGGCTGGGGGGAGAAAAACAAAAAGTGTAGAGTAATCTAGACTAGACTCGACTCCTCTACAGTCTAGAGGATCAAGGAGTCGAGCGAGTCTACAGAGTAGGCCTAAACTACGGCTCGGTGTAAAAATGTCAGAGGAAAAAATGTCAGAGGAAAAAATGTCAGAGGTAAAAATGTCAGAGGTAAAAATGTCAGAGGTAAAAATGTCAGAGGAAAAAATGTCAGAGGTAAAAATGTCAGAGGTAAAAATGTCAGAGGTAAAAATGTCAGAGGAAAAAATGTCAGAGGTAAAAATGTCAGAGGTAAAAATGTCAGAGGTAAAAATGTCAGAGGTATAAATGTTAGAGGTATAAATAAAAACAAAATCATGTGGCAAGTTTGTTATGGTTACACCCGGCCATATATTAGGCTTATCGAAAAAGAACAGCGAGGGATATTCTGCAGTCGTTATTTCACCGCTGCTTTATTTTCTACTTTCCCAGTTAAAATTTATTTACCTTTCGGTCCCAAATTGTGACTTTTTGCCCGATTATTGCCGAAGGAAGACGAGGGGGGGGTATTCTTCTTCTGGGGCACGGTGACCCGGCTGCTCTCCCCTTCCTCTTATATTATGCTTTGCTATATATCCTTCTGAACAGTGGTCAATGCCTAGGCAGAGCAGGCAGACTAATGGGACATGGTTTCTGTTCCGAGTTTCGCGCCTTGCAAGCAATCATCAGGCAATTATTGATAGCATTCTTAAAAGTACATGATTATCTTATACAACCTTGGTACAAATACCCCTAAAATAAGACTTAACTAATAAAATACAATTAGAATTACTCATGAGTAATTCTTATTATATTTTATTCAGGTATTGTATTAGTTAAGTCTTATTTTGAGTGTATTTGTACCAAGGTTGCAGAGGAATCATGTACTTTGAAGAATGCTATCAGTTGTCTGATGATCCAAAAAAGAGCCCCCGTGAGAAGGCTCACGGGGGCTCTTTTTTGGGGGAAGAGCCCCCGTGGACAAAAAATTAATTTGAGCCCTGCCCATTAGTCTGCCTTATTCAATATTTATATACTGGTATATTATGCTTTTGTAAAATCAAATGGTACTAGTACACTGAGCAAACTTCTGGGGAAAAAGATTTCTAAAATCGAGAAGTTTGGCCATGTTTTATAGGCCGAGTTGTCGCTCCATGGTGTAATTATTAAATAAAAATAAAAGTCAGTACAGCCCCCGAAATAGGATCAGATATCTATGAACCCCCCCCCCCCCCGCCCCCACTTCTCCTTCACTTTTGAAGATTGTTGGACATTTTAACTGCGTGGCAATGACTACTATTATATGTAATTTCCAATAAATGCATATTTCCGACAATTCCACTTTCTTGTGGGCTTGGTATTTTGATACTCTGAAACAAAGCAGAAAGCCATGTTATCAATGCTAACCCATCACATTCCCGAAGTGCGCGCGTTCCAATAAAATATTGTCGATTACTATTGCGGTATAAAATAGTCTGGGAGAAAATCAATAAGCAGCTTTGTTACTCCGATAAAAAGCAGAAAGCCGACCATGTTACATCAATTAAAGAGAAGGTTGAGTTCTGGGGAAAGGTGAACAATAATTTGTGAGCGTTTGTTATCATTCTTGTTATGCAAGTGTGGAAGAACATCAAAGAAAAAAGTTATTCCCTGAAAATCTATTTCAAATGACTTCATATCCCAGGTATGACAAGTAACGGCTTTAAAATGAGGCCTGATTTGATTTGCCATATGTTTGTGTAGTCCCATATCAATATCTTTCTGTGTACAGTGCTTGTGACTTTACCAAGACTGGGCCAAAGTTTTTATCATTTTGATAAAAATTTTCGTGTTTTCGTGATTCCTCGTGATTATATGTAATTATTTGTACTAAATGCACTACTCACTTTAACACTTGACTTTTGTTGAGAACTTTCATTTCTTCGTTTGGACTTTGTTCGTCTCTGGGACGTTACACGGGCTAGGTTGTAGGCTGCCACCGGCCAAACCGGTCCGTTTCACAAACATTAACACATCAACCAATTCAAAATATCAAAAAATGTTAGACATTCATACATAATATAATTATATGCAAGCCTGATCACAAAAAAATAAATTTCAAAATCTATTTTCCACATTGTATTATCCTCAGGACATGTACGAAATACAACAAACAGCCATTTATACAATTTACATTATTGAAGAAAGGAATATAATAGACAAGCCCATGCAGTAGCTCTACGTCTCAACATTCTGTGTGATAAAAGTGCTGAGATATTAAAACGGCACTCATTTTTTTTTGCTTGTACATTTTTACCTCTGAATATTTTTACCTCTGACATTTTTACCTCTGACATTTTTACCTCTGACATTTTTACCTCTGACATTTTTACCTTCAACATTTTTTCCTCTGACATTTTTACCTCTGACATTTTTACCTCTAGATCTAACATTTTTTCCTCCGACATTTTTACCTCTGACATTTTTTCCTCTGACATTTTTACCTCTGACATTTTTACCTCTGACATTTTTACCTCTGACATTTTTACCTGGCACCTAAACTACAGTTATAATTTTAGTTTAACCTGAGCGAGAGAGCATTATTCATCATTACACACTTTAACAAGTGTAACCATTCATCACATTAAGGGATCAAAAGATTGAATATCGGTCGTTAACTCGTCATCTTGATTGGATGACTAGATTCTAGCAAGCCTCCGCCACGCCTGGCCTGGCCTGGCCTGGTTGGGTTAGCCCATCTGCAGTCTGTCAATTAATTCCGTAGAGCGATCGGATGCCGGATGCAGACTCTGAGCTCCAAATGATAAATCCATCACAATTTTTGACACATAAAATTACAACTGCAATCTGCATAACGTGTCGAAACTACCAAAAATTCATGATGACATGTACATCTAGACTTATCTTGATAAAACTTACTTTTCTGAATTTTTGCTGCCATTTTCTTTTCAGTTTTTTTCCGGTCCGCGTCCAACCTGTACTTTTTCACTTTGTACTTCCCCTTCCGTCACTTGCAAGTGAATTCGTGGGACTGCACATAATTGCTTGCGCGCACCGTATACTAGCGCTAGCACTGCACGCACTGTGTTGATCAGTGGTGTTGATTCGGGCTTTGGAATAGACACGCCCCATACAGCGAACGCTCATGTTTAGAAACTTGGTGATTGGTCAAATACCATAACTGGTCCATATTTGGAGAGATAAAGCTCGTGTTATTTGCCATATAAGGGATTTTCTTTCGTGCACATAAGACAGGAGTGCTCCAACAGGGGTCACGTGCCCCCGGCCCCCCCAAATAAATTAGTGCTCACTACCCCCCTCCCCCGCTCATTCAGCGGCTGGCTGATTCGTTGCGATTTTAGGGGGAACAAAAAAAAAATATATATATATATATATATATATGTCCTCTTACCCCCCCCCCCTTGAGAAAAAAAAAAATCATTTAAAATCACGTGATTTTTACCTTTTTTAGGGGTTGGGCCCCCCCCCCACCCCTTGCGCTCAAGGGGGGGGGGGTGCAAATTTTAAAATTTTCGAGGACCAAAAAAAAAAAAATATGCTCACTACCCCCCCCCCCCCCCCACTGTGCGATTTTCAAATTTTCGGGAGCAAAACAAAAGTTGGGCCCCTCCCCTAAGAAATCCTGGATCCGCGCCTGCCCCCCCCCCCCTCCCCGCTTATTCAGCGGCCGACTGAGTCGTTACGAAACTTTCGGCCCGATTTTAAAATGTTTAAACCTCCCCCCCCCCCCCTTGAAAAAATTCTGCGTACGCTACTGATTTCACCCCATGCTATTTTGTGCCCCCCCCCCCGGTAAGAAATTCATGGATCCGCCCCTCTTAATGCACACGTAAATATTGCAAACGCCGAAAAGAAAAACAATCTGACAAATTTATATCTAATTTCGTCATTCAGATTTATTTTCGCCAACCATGCAGATCCATTGTTTGTGAAATTTTGCCCAAATATAGGCCTAGTATGAGCGATGTGTCGAAATTAAGATATGACAAAGGGAGATGTGAGAGAATTAAACGACCCCCCCCCCCTGTGCTGAAAAAATAAAGTGTTTGTATTCCATATTCTTGCATGTGGGTGCTTCTTACGTACATGACCAACAAAAAAGGGCACTTCTGAAGAAAACGCAAAAAACAAAGGGGCATGCAGGCTACGAAGGGAAAACCTCAAAGTGAAAATATACCTTTTTAGACATTGGTATATCTCCCCTACTTTGCCATTACATTATAAGGGATGATTTCAATATTTGTGTCTCTCTTCACATGGTCCAAGATACTACATGTACATGAGCATTTTACTTTGCAGTTGGGTGTGATGAATATTCAGGGAAAATTCAAAAGGGATACTTATTTGAATAAAGGGGCGCTTTTGGGGAACTTGAAAAGTGTTATAGGGGGCGGGCAACGTGCCCCTCTGCCCCCCCCCCCCCCGGAGTGCCGCCTCTGACCTACTGTGTATAATAATTTCAAAATGGTTGGCATCAATTATTGGTAGGCTGCATTGCAATATACGGTCCAGTTATTAGCTAATAATAATAATGAAAATGATGATAATAATAATAATAATGATAACAATATGAAAATATTTTGTTTTTGATTAAATTGATTAATTAACAAAATTTGATTACAAAAAGCAGTAAACATAATAGTATTAATATATCCGACATGGAAATAATTTGACAAAGTAGTGACATGGATATTATAATGAGAACTTGTAATTCTACTGGTTCTATAAAGTCAGATAGCATGTTCACATGACTCTTACCATATACATCGACTCTGTATGAAACAAGTTTGTAATCTGAAATATATATTCTTGCTTAATGGGCTGCATAGCCTACATATTACACGGACAAGGACTCGGTGAATAAAGCAAAGAAGAAAAAAAAAGTTGTATTTCCTAGATTTTCAATTCTTTGATAGCTTAGGTCTCGATTGATTTAATAAACCTCATTCATCTTCAGAAGCGGATCTAGAGGGGGGGGGGGGGGGGGTTGGGGGGTTGCAACCCCCCCCCAAAAAAAAAAAAAAAATCCGGGGACCATTTTTTAAAATCTTATCTTTTTTTTAAAACTTGTAATTTTATTTTATTCTATTTCTATGTATTTATTTCATTTATTATTATTATTATTATTATTATTATTATTATTATTATTATTATTATTATTATTTCTTTTTGGGGGGAGGGGGGGGGGGGGTTGGGCGAACAAATATCACAGAGTCCCTTGCCCCCCCCCCCCCCATCAGCTTTTTTGAGGACACGGGCCACCGCCGAAGTGACAAGCTAGGCCAGCGTTGCCGATTCTCATCCCCAAAATCCCCACATTAAAAAAAAAAAAAAAAATTCGGGGATTGTTGAAGTCTTTGGGGATGAAAAATAAATATTTGGGAATGAAAATAATATTGAGTTTTATGAAAAACGAATTTGGGGATTTTCTGTCAAAATTTGGCATTTTGGGGATATTTTAAGTGTCGTTTGGGTGGGGATTTTGTGAAGATTTAACCTGGCAACGCACGCTGAGCTGGGCTGCTCATTCCCTGGATTACTTGTTCAAGTTGCTCACTTTTTTATCAGTCTGGTCTGAGTGTAGTGACAAGCAATATGGAAGCAAACAGGGCAAAGAAGTTGCGGCAATCCAGTCTCGCATCTTTTTTTACAGCTTTTTATGGTCTCCATTGTGTTAATAGATGCCAGGAAAACATCACATACGGGGTTCAAATAAACACCCCCAAAAAAAATCGGCTCGCCGCTTCGCGGCTCGTGGACGATGCTCCGCATCGTCATTATTTTGGTCAACCCCCCCCCCCTTAGCAAAAAGCTAGATCCGCCCCTGATCTTTATAGATTTTGATTACATAATTGTGATATATATCAATGTTATTTATTTGGAGCAATATGCAGACTCATCGATCATAATGACATTACTATAAATCATCTCTATACTTATCGAATGTAACATTTAAGTAGCTTAAGTAGTTTGCCTTAGGAGAAAGAAAACTAGAAAAAAAAGTCAGTAAAGAGATTTACATTTTCCATAACAAATAGCGATATGACGTAGCCGACCTTCATAAAGAGAACGGTGTCGATGAAAAATGGATAAGTGAATAGCTCAATATTTCCAAATTATTTTTTAATATTTGTACACCATTGGAAAGATCAATTTCTCTTCAGAAATGATATGGCACCGAAACCATGATCAAAAAGTCGGAAAAGAAAACATTCGATTTTTGTTCTTATATAATGAATTATTGAACTTTGAAATAAATAAATGAACTTGTTCAAAAACTGTAATTCAATTGGAAATTTTCGCTCATTCCCTGCGATCGCTTTTTTGACAGTGATAGTCCTAATTCATCATATACCGCTGTTACTATTAATTTAACAAAATAATGAGGCTTATCGTGTCGAAATCAACATCCTAAATTTTACAATTATAAGAAAAGAGAGAGTGACAAGGAACGTCCTTCGCACAGCCCACCCAAATTATATGCAAATTAGGGTCGAGAAATGTTCTTGCCTAGATTTAATCGGCTAGCGGAGATGGAAGCATTTATATACATATAAACCTATTCGAAAAAGAATATTTATACCCCGGTTCTTTGCAGCTAGATAAGGCGCTAAGCCATAATTTAATGTTGTTGCAATTTGTACGCGGGGAAAAGAATACAAAGGGGTAGAAAAGGGGCAAGCCGCTTAATCATACAAATCGGGAATGGTCATTTATCAAGAGTGAAAACGGGCATTTATCGGAAATGAATAAAACAAATCTTCTTAAAAAAATGAACAGGGGCACTTTTTTTAAGTGAAAGGTTCCCTTTTGACAAAATAGGGCACTGTGCCCCTCCTCCTTTCATCTGAAGCGCAGCATCGCCCAATGCGCATGCGTCTCGAGACCTCTCTCCATAGCCATCGCGATTTCATTGTCTCATGAATATTCACGACGACAGCAGGTTACGGTAAGTCAACTTTCAGCCTGTCTCTGGAAGGATACTCTTGGTGAGCGGGATTTCAAATACGCCTCCGCCGAACAGCTGGCCCATCTCAGCTCCGGGATCCTGCCTCGTTGCAGCCTCGGTCTCGCAACGTGTGCAATTTTACGACTGCACTGACACCTTTGTAATGTCGACACATTTACTGCTGCAGTAGCGTCATTATTTTTGACAATTCTCAGGTAAGCCTTGGGAAAATTCACCTGCTAGACTTCTTTATTTAATTCATGTTACTGCTATGATGAGATGGAGTCATTTAGATCTAGATCTATAAATTGAAAGTTTGTTTGGATCGAAATCAAACTTCAATTTCAAACAAAGACGGTAACTAGCTGGGTAAGATTTGATTTTGACTTTGTTTAGCAAAGTTTCTGAGCTTGTTTGTATTGTAAGCGCTAAGCGGCCAAGCCGAGTGATGTTTTGTCCACATTTGTCACAGATTCGTCGCAAGGTATTCCAGTGGGAGCAGTTTCTTGAAACCACAGGAATTCTAAATTCTGGGACATCTCATTGAAACGTGTGTTATACACTGCCACCAGTACCACTGGCATTATATAGGCCTAGACCCTACTAGACCTAATACTAGTAATACAGAGACGCCAAGTTTAAAGATCGGCAATGCGTGACATTTTCATGATTCGGCTCGCGCGAGGGTATAACACACGTATAAGCCTATAAGGTATAGGCCCTAGCGTTTTTTCAAAACCTAGCACGCGCGTTGTGCGTGAGAGCATTTTCAGACCCTCGAAATGCGTGATGTCACGCCTATTAAATGCGTGATACTTGGTAGCTCTGGTATTATGACTAGTATAGTCCCGGCCCCCCCCCCCCACTCTGAGAACAGACGGACACCATGCGTGAATTACCAAAATGTCCGGTATTAAGAGGGGTAATTTTCGTGCAACAAAATCCGGCCCGAGAATTGTAAAAAAAAAGGGGTGTAGAATCTATTTATTTTCACCCCGAGATTTCTTTAAAAAGGGGGTGTTTTTTCTTTTTTTCTCTCATCTCTTATGACTCCTAAGAAATTATTCTGATTTAAGGGGGGTATATTGAGCATTTTTCATGATTTAGGGGGGTCTCCAATGCAGGAAAAGCCCGCGAAAGGGTTCGGAAATGTTGGCAGTCCTCAGATAAGGGGTGCTTTCAAAAAGAAGGAACAAGCATATGCGTACCCTAAATAACACTGAGTGGGGGGGGGGGGGGGAGACAGGCTAGTAGTACGTACACGTTTCTAATTTTATGGAGTATGGGATGTCTTGGATTCAATTCCTCCTAAAATACTCCATGTCTAATCATTCAGTTTTGACTGGAGGTGGTCCACCAACTTAAACCAAGGAGGTAGGATTAGAAAGAAGTGTGCCTTGCTTAAACTTAATGAGGGTTTCGAGAAAAGGGCAATAAGCGGGCTAAGAATGGAACCAGCTCCCATCCGTGACAATTCTCTCAAGCTTTAAAAAACAACTTGATGCCAAATTCCCAGCAAATTAGCGAGGTTGTGTCGATCCACAAGAACATTTTACTGACTATTTCATCCAGATCTAAATGACTTGGAACCAGCTCAAACCGGACACTATCACCCACACTGACCCTGTCAAATTCCAAATTATCCTGACGGTCCCCCCTCCCCCATCTACAAATTAATCCACCCTATCCGCACCTCCAGTTAAAACTCAGACAAGTATTTTGGAGGACCAACCAACCGAGAAGGCCTACCAAGTCTTAATTTGATTCTCGATCAAATTGTTATCCTTTTATTTATCGATGTGTGCATGATCAGTTGAGACAGCAACTGTAAAGTTTTCTTTTGAAATCAGCATTGGCTGATGCTGGGATGACCAGAGGATGTGCTCATTATTTTTGAAATGTTATTGGTTTTTTTTAAATGTGATAATTGACATTAATTAATCTGTAGTTGTTCCACTCAGACTACGTCTGGTTCCACTGACTGCCTCTATGCCACGGCAGAGGGAAGATTGACAAATGTCAGTTTTATTGAAGAATTCCCCTTATACCAGACAATTATTCCTAATCTGATCATTGAGTCTGACATCTTTTATTTTCTGCTAAATGCTGTCTAGATTTAATCAAATTTGCAGCAAAATAGAAATAGCATTCTTGTCTCTTGACTAACTAAATTCTCTGAATGATGGACTCAACTGGAGCACCTTACATTGTAGATATGAATGACATACAGTAGTAAATACAGAGAACCAAGATTATCAATTTGATTATTTTCATCATGATTATTCATTAGGGCAACCGCAAACACCGTACCATGGCTCATCTGGATCAGTGGCATGAAGACCCAGAGCTAGCAAGCGAGGTCTATGCATCGCTGTGCCATGAAGAGAGCCGCATCCTTCCCTTCCAAGGGAAATCCCCTCAGCTGAACCTTCGTCGGTTCCTGGTCGACTGGCTAGCCATCGTGAGTGAGAACTTGGATATTGAGAGTCCAGCTCGTCATCTAGCTGTTTATCTCCTGGATCGGACGATGGATAGGTTTACTGTCAGTGGAGAAGCTTATCTACAGAGACTAGCTCTTGTCTGCCTTCTTATAGCAAGTAAGCATCATCTGTTCTTTAGAATAATTGAAATGCACATTAATTCACTGCCTGAGCTTTAAAGCTAATGCAAACTAATACCCCACTGATCGAAAAGTAAATGAAAATGAGCTCAGCCCTTCAACTGAGAAAATATATCTTCAACTTTTCATTGTATTAAGTAATTTCTGTTATCAAATACATTTGTTCACTTAAAGGTGACCATTTTTGATGACTTTTCCAACCATGTGATGTTTACAAGTATTAGATTTTACTGAGACAAATTTTGATTGTATGGTTTTCATTGTCCATTTCGATATAAATATTCAGTATATATTTTCTTGAACCCATTTTTGTATTTGAAGGACAATCTATTCTTGTTTTTAAAAAATTGGAAAAGATTGGGTTGTCTAATAAAAAATGGAGGATGAGATGAAGTCTCTTTATTTACTGATTAGTCTCTGGTATCTAGTGCTTAATTGTGCTGAATGTGATTTTGAATTCATGCATACCTTGAGTAGGGACTACTTGAACTTAAAAAACAATGTCCTTTCCATCACCTGATCACCATCTGTTATTTTTGTACACAGCCAAGTTTGAAGAGAAGGAAATCAAAGTGGTCAAACTGACCAATCTTGCCAATCAGATCAACACCGATGAAACGGCCAAGAAGGAATTCTTTCAAATGGAGCTTCTACTCCTCGATTTCTTTGACTGGAATATTTCGGTGCCTACGTCACTTCATTTTGTGGACTACTTCTTAATGGATGCTGTTGGTCCGCATGATTTGCATGGAGGCAAACCTCTCACAAACTTTGATGCACCCATATACCTGGAGAGATATGCACAGTATTTCCTTGAGATTAGTTTACAAGGTAATCAAGCATTTAGCCTTCTTTTTTCTTGATGCAGAAACCTTTATCTTTTTTTCTTTCTTGTCAGTTATTTTTTCAATCAGCAAGATTTCCTTAGTACATGTTTTTATGCCTCAGTTACGAAGTAGCCGGAGGCATTATGTTTTCGAGTTGTCCGTCTGTCCGTACGACCGTACGTCCCGTTCTCTTGATCGCGTTATCTCAAGAACAGACTGGTGGATTCCTACCAAACTTTGTATGTAACTTGCAGAGCCAATGAACTGATTAGATTTTGGGGTCACAGGGTCAAAGGTCAAAGATCACAGGGCTCATTATGTATGCAAAATAGCTTGTAATTGCGTTATCTCAAGAGCCGATCGATGGATTCCTGCCCTACTTTGATCATGTATGTATCTTGCAGAGCCAATGAATTGATTAGATTTTGGGGTTACGAGGCCAAAGGTCAAAGGACTCAATATGTATACAAAAATAGCTTGTGATCGCATTATCACAAGAACTGATTGATGGATTCCGGCCAAACTTAGGTCATGTATGTATCTGCAGAGCCAAATAATTGATTAGATTTTGGGGTCACAAGGTCATAGGTCAAAGGTCACAGGGCTCATTATGTATGCAAAAATAGCTTGTGATCACATTATCATTAGAACAGATGGACAGATTACCATAAAACTCAGGACATGTATATATCTTGCTGAGGCAATGAACTGATTAGATTTTGGGGTCATGAGGTCAAAGATCAAAGGGTCATACATGTATATGTAAATGAGAAATAGCTTGTAGTCACGATATTCTGAGAACCTTTTTAATGTTTACATTTGAACTTGAATATGAAAAATTTCTTCTGTTTTGGTTTGTAAAATTGCTCAATGACGGAGGCATCATTTTTCGACTGCACGCAGTCAAAGTTCCATCTAGTTTTTATGCCTCCGCCACCGAAGGTGGTGCCGGAGGCATCATGTTTTCGGGTTGTCCGTCTGTACGTCCGTACGTCCGTCCCGTTTGACCGTTATCACAATATCTCAAGAACCATTTAAGATTTAAACTTAAGATTCGGGAATAGTATTTATCACCATAGGAAGACGATCTGATTAGATTTTGGAGTACGTAGGTCAAAGGTCACAGGTCACAGATGTCAACTTATGAAATTCCTTGTATTGAGTTTGTTAGCGCGATATCTCAAGAACCATTTGAGATTTAAACTTCAAACTTAAGGATAGTATGTATCACCATAGGAAGACGATCTGATTAGATTTTGGAGCACGTATGTCAAAGGTCAAGGGTCACAGAGGTCAACTTATGAAATTCCATACATTGAGATTGTTATCATGATATCTCAAGAACCACTGGAGATTTAAACTTCAAACTTAGTGATAGTGTGTATCACTATAGGAAAACAATCTGATTACATTTTGGAGCACGTAGGTCAAAGGTCAAGGGTCATAGAGGTCAACTTATGAAATTCCATACATTGAGATTGTTATCATAATATCTCAAGAACCACTGGAGATTTAAACTTCAAACTTAATGATAGTGTGTATCACCATAGGAAGACAATCTGAATAGATTTTGGAGCACGTAGGTCAAAGGTCAAGGGTCACAGAGGTCAACTTATGAAATTCCATACATTGAGATCGTTATCGCGATATCTCAAGAACCACTGGAGAATTTTCACTTCAAACTTAATGATAGTATGTATCACCATATCATAATATCTCAAGAACCACTGGAGATTTAAACTTCAAACTTAATGATAGTGTGTATCACCATAGGAAGACAATCTGATTAGATTTTGGAGCACGTAGGTCAAAGGTCAAGGGTCACAGAGGTCAACTTATGAAATTCCATACATTGAGATTGTTATCATGATATCTCAAGAACCACTGGAGATTTAAACTCCAAACTTGTTTAAATTGCTCTATGGCGGAGGCATCATTTTCGACTGCGCGCAGTCAAAATTCCATCTAGTTTCTTTCTTCTTTCCATCATCTGTTGTGTATTCGGGCTGTTTTTGAGCCAGAAACCTTTCAAATAATTACAAGATGTGTAAGTTCTGATACATGTCATGAACCAGTTGCAAATATTGACCACTCACAAATTTTGTTGTACTCTTTCTGTGTTTGACCTGTTCAGATTACACCTTCTCCACAATAACCCATCCTCAGTTGCAGCCATCTATATCAGGCCTAATTACCGGATTTAAATCGGTTTCCTGATTTTAAAAAAAAAAATTCTTCCCAATTTTTTTTTTTTTTTTTTTTTGGTACCCAATTTTTTTTCTTCCTGATTTTATCCCAATATTCCAGATCTTTCATTTATTTTTTCTATTCTTCCCTATTTTTTCCCCAATTTTTTTCCCAATTTTTTTACTCAAAAAGGGGGAATGTTGTTCGATGCCATTTTTTTCCCCGCGAATTCTCTTCTCTTTTTTTTACTCAAGGGGGCGTGGTAGAGGGGGAAAAAAAACCCCCTTTTTTTTTTTAGTACTCACTATCACCCTTGATCTTTATAGCAGCATCATGTGTCTCCAGCTCTCAACAACCTCTTGCAAATATTGACCACTTGCAGATCTTGTGAAAGTTTCTTGGTTTACAATAAGTTTCGTTTCTGTTTGAATTGTTAGATCACACCTTCTCTACATTACAACCATCGTTGATAGCAGCCATCTGTATAGCAGCATCACGTATATGTCTTCAGCTATCACCCACATGGACAAACCAACTCAAGAAGTTGACCAAGTACTCCTGGGGACAGATCTCTCCTTTCATTGAGACAATGCTCAAGTAAGTACATTCAAACCTGGTTTATATAGCAACCACCTGTATAGAAAGACCACCTGCCTATACCACCTGGTCTTCCTTGGGTGGTCTTTTTAAACAGATTTCGCTGTAGATCAGCTGGTGAAAGTATTCCTTATACATACTATTTTATACATGATGCTGTGAACCATCTCATTAAAACTATTGAAGAAAAAAATGTAGAGCATAGTGTGCTTCACATTTTTGTATCCTAACTCACTTGAGAACACTCAGCTCCTTTTGTTCCATCTCCACTTACCAATTATTTACACATTGTTGCACCTTTTTTTCTTCTTAATCAGTGATATACCGTCATACATGTCCGAATGCGACTATAAGCTTTTTACCTTCAGGGCGCGCAAGCATGATGGCTTAGTAATTATGGAAAGGGCCTTTGGATCCTAATGCCCAGATTTTGAATATGCTGTTATATCAGTATTGTTATATCAGTTACCGAGTGACCTTCAGATAGAATTTAAAACTGGACCCCCTTTCTTGTAGATTACAGTTTTTGTAATTTTATACATTTTTTTTAATGGCTGTTAGACAAAGTTTGGGTTAACAGCTGATTGATGAAATTTGTTAAGGTTTGATAATGGCTCCAGAATCTGGTTTGCATAAGAACCAGTGTTTTCATAATGATCACATTGTGGCATTAGTTGGTACTAGTAATTCTTTTAAAGATATCTTGAGTTTAAGAACCAAAACTGATTGTCATGGGTCATTGTGGAATATTGCATAGTAAACATCCTGATAATCAAGTATATGTCTGTTATCTTTATATATATGTACATATGTTTTTGAATGCTTTTTATATGATTGTATGTTTGATGTTAACTTGCATTTTTAGTTTTTGGACTTTTTGACAAGTCATGAATAAAACCTCATTTGAACTTGAACATATGTCTATATTTGAATGTACTGAACTTACAATTCAGTATTTTAATCAAACTATATGAATGTGAAATAGATAGATAAAGAGAATATAGGATAACATTTTGCTACAAGTAAATAGAGGATCAAATGCTTTGTATTGTTTTTTTTTTTAATAACAATTCCATTGCATTTTTTTAATAACAATTCCATTGCATTCAGAGCACATGAATCAGATGAAAGTGCTGCCAAACGTAACAAAGGAGTTAAGAAGTCACATCATGGGTACGTCACCAGTGCTCCCACCAGTATAACAGTACCACCAACTGCATGTTAACCAAGGAGAAAAGGACGTCTACCTCCTATGGCAACAAAGCTCTAAGTAATATAGACTGTACTGGTTACTGCCTCTGGACCATTGAGAAAGGCTGGGTCTTCAATTCATCTTTCTCCTATGGTCACATTAATTGCTTCTTGTCATATGTAGCAGTATCCTTCTGCCCCCAGCCTTGTGAAGAGACAGTGATCTACAGTGATCCAACTCATGGGTAGCTGTGTCGGTGCAGAAGATGATCCAAAGAAAGAATTCCTTGAGATGCCTTTGGGTGGATGATCAGTAGACATGCCTCCCAGGATGATACCTCTGAGTGGAATGTACATTATCAAGAGGCAATGAATTTGAAATGATATTGATAAGAAACACTTCTTAGCTTACTATACTTTCTGACCGATCATAAAAAGGATCAAACTGAAGCTAGTGTATGTAGAATCAGACATTGTTTTGTATGTGGAACTCGACGATGACCAGCTGCTGTCAAAGTGCTTGCGGCAGTACCCTCAATCGCTGTCATCTTGGATTGTGTTTATGTACCACGTAGAGGATGTGCTATACTTCGAAACAACTTCTGGAAACTACCTCAGCAGTCAATATGTGTCGCAACTAAGAGCTTCTGTTCTTCTTAGAAGACGGACACTCTGCAGAAGTTAAAATTAAAGAATCAGTAAGGAGCGTTTCCAGAAGGCCTACGAGTGCTACGACCCATCTATAACTAAAACAAGTGATGTGCACTGGTTTATGCGTTGTATGGCAAGCAGTTAATGAGTCCTCAGTGAAATTGTCAAGTTGGCCCAGCCAAAGGATAGATCATATGGATTTATGATGTAAGCATTTTGTATGATGAGCTACATACATACTGTAAAAGATGGTTCTATAGTTTTGTTTTTTTGTTTTTTTTTTCAAAGCAAAAAGGGGAATCATAAAGTTGATTGTAGATGTGTGTGATGCTAGGACTAAGGGTTTAAACCATGCATTTTAGCTCTTGAAGAAAAAAAAGCCTTAATGTGTGTATCTTATTATTTTGCTATTTGCAATACAGGGTGTCAAATGAGCAGGAGAAAATATGAGCTTAACATTATTATGATACCATTTTTTTTTACAAGGAGAAGTCTTCTTTTGTAAATTATCAAAATTAATGAATTTAGTACACATACATGGTTTGTAATTTTGTACTGATCATACAATCCTCTTCAGTATTGGTAAGTATCAAGTAGGGTATAATGTAATCCTCTGTGAAGACATTGTCACTTAGATATTTACATTTTCTTTGTTGTTGTACCTATTCATGTGAAATTCCCCAAAACACAATCACCAGAAATTATTGAATATCAATTTTATAAATGCTAATAGAAACTGATTTGCAACAAATACTTCTCAAACATCATGCGGGAAAAATAGTTTTTTGTTTAAAGTGGGATGTAGAATCATGCTGCTAAGTAACAAATTAGAGGTGTTGTTTGTGTAGATGAACAGTGATGTTTATCCAGATTTACAAAGTGATTCATGCTTCATACATTTAGCATAAAATGGGAGAGCCCTATATCTAGATTAATTTACAGATGAAATATTTAGATTTGGTAAAGTTAACAGTAAGCCCTGTGTCCCTAACCACAGTGATTGATTAAAGAAATGCAACAAAATTTTGACAATTTCTCAGCAAATTGTGGAATTTCTAGGATTGTCTTATTGCTTTGCTATGTTATAAGAAAATATATGAGAAGTTGCCTCTTGTGCTTAAAACCACCGATAAGTTGTCAACATTGATTTTGTTTCGGTTTGTGTATTTTCTTAATGGAGAAATTTATTCATTTCCAGTGCTATTTATTAATACTTGAATTCTACTCCAGTCGAAACCACTTTAAAACAAGACCAATTGCCTTTTCTGCTCCGTTGCCACATTTGTATATTATTGTTGGCTTTGAGCTGTCTTGCCACAAATGCTCTTCACATTTACTGCTAAGTTTATTTCAATCAGTTATACTCATTTGATCTGAAATGTTGATTGTATTCATATGAAAGTTTGCCTTGCGTTTCAATGATAATTTACCAACAGAAGTTGTGTAAAAGTAGAAAGTCAGAAATATTTAATATACTCAGTATTCATCAAAATCTTGATGAAAAAAGTTGATGTAATCATGTTTTAATAGATGGAGTACAACGTGTACATACAGTTAATAACTAAATTATTCATACCCCCTGTAAATTAATGTTTGTTTTTGTGTGTAGATTCTTAACTAAGGAATGAAAGGTTGGCTGGCTGAATTAGGCCTTTGTTGAATACTTATAGATATGATACTCTACATTCTCAAGAAACGTGAATAAGGACAAATCAATTTTTCACATATGTTCTCTAAAATGACAAAACTTGGTAAGGGTATATATAATTAAGTTGTTAACTGTTAAACTGAATCAATCGTAGGTACTAAAAACATTTCATAAATGTTTTAGCCTCGATCAATGCATTACCTCTCTTTGTTTCTCTCAAATATTTATGATAAAATGTTTTGTATCAAGTATGCAATATTCATTATGTTGGTATTGATTTGATATAACTCAAATCAGGTGACATGTTTAAATAGTGATGGAGCTTTATGAGTTTCTTTATTGATGTTTGCCAAAAAAAAGTATTCCAAAGCCCCTGCTGTAATGTGTGCTATAAAGTTGAAATATTTATTTATGTGCGTAAAAGTGTTTCTTGGGTAAACGCAGTAGGCCTAGAAAAAGTTGCTTTCTTTCGAAAATTGTTTTTGTTATTTATTTTGTAAGTAAAGAGGTTACTGAACAAATAAAGAAGATTTATTTATGCCATGATTTGTGCCAAAGATCAGAAAAAGTGTATGGATACATGTATATCTATGTTCTTTAACAAAGGTAAACATTTGTTATAGTAAACACCACGAAAAAACTAAACATGTATTCTCAAGATTATCTGCGTTTTATGTTACTTGTAGTTATTGTTCAGATGCCAGTTGGGACTGTGAAAAATGTTTGTAAGTTTTATGAAGGATTTAGAATCTAAGTGGAGGGAGAAAGATAGAGAGAGAGAGAGACAGAGAGAGAGAGTAAAAAGAAAGGGGAGGTCCTGACGGGGATGACAGAGAAAGAGAAGAAATATAGCATAGAGAATATGATTTTTTTATTTTTATTAGGTTGCCCCATCCTGTCCCCATGACTGTAACATATGTGTTATATTAATTTTCTATATTATATCACTATCATTCCTTCCCCCTCTCTCAAGTCATGTTTCTCCACCCCCTCCCTTAATTTCTTCATACATTTTGATCAGCTTTCTTCTATTCGTTTTCGTTCTTTGTTCCTTTTCTATGAAATCTCACCAGTAGTTGCGATTCATTGCAAGTGAAATTGCCACACTGCCCTCGATGGTGACACTAGTCGCAGGACAGACCCCTCCCCAGGGATTGGGGATGCGTACACTCATATGATGACGAGGTATTAGTAATACCCATAAAGTGCTTACATTCATTTGTATTCTACTAATACTATCATTTGTCCTACTTGCATGACCGATTTTATCACATACAGTAGCGTACCTTACCCTTCTCTCCATTGCAGCAAGGATATCAATAATGTATTTTTTTATTCAAAATTTTGAAGAAAAAAAACACAGCTTCAAACAACAATGAGGTGAGCCCTTATTTCCACCATATGAAGTAAGTTGCCTTCGCTTCATGAGAGAAACATGTAGTAAGTAGGCGCTACTACCTAGGGAGGGGGTGTACCCATTCAAAATTTATGTTGGCAAAACCATTTTATTGGTTATTCCATAATTTCTGATTTTATGATCTCCCTTTGTTGCCTGGAACTTGCAAATCTTTGGACTATCTTTTTTTAAGGGGGGGGGGGAGGGGGTGGAATATATAATTTTTTTTAAAAATATGAACAACACTAAAAAAAAAAGTGCAGAGTAATTACTATTATTTATTTTCAGAAAACAAGAAATTAGAAGAAAAAAAATGCCCAAGCCCGTTGGTCGTAAAGGGAGAAGATGGCTGAACTCTTCAATATTTGGGAATCCAATCAAGATGATGTAAATGCCATATACGGTAATCATATGCCTTCCAATATTATTTCCAAAATAGAATAAATGATTATTATTATTTCCATTATTACTATTATAATGATTATCAGAATTATTACTATTATTATTATAATTTTTTACTTTTATGGAAGAGGGTCTTTTATATGAAGAATTATTGTAGAATGTAGAGTACGGGTATACATACATGTACAATGCACAAATAGATGGATTTTGCAGAATTGGGATATTTTGATTGTTTTGGGCAATGAATATTCTTTTCCACCTGTGTACCCTATCTTGTGTACTCACCTTCTTATTAATATCTCCTTCTCTATCTCTTCTTCTTCCCATCTTATACTTCTCTTTTTCTCCCTCTCTTTTCATCTCTAGCGTTCCCTGTCTCCCATCTGTTTCTCCTTCCCTATTGTCTTCTTTCTCTATCTTTTTCTTTCTGAACTTTGCCCCCGCTCACTTTTCTTTCAAATTCAAAGCAATATACATTCAACTGACAACTCAAGTTGTTATCATCACGACCCAGATATCATACACAACACAAGCTATGCATTTCTTACAAAGCATTACTTTAATTGACATCACTTTCTCATAGCAAATACATGTAATTGGTGAAACACACAAACATTATTTACAGTTAATGAAAATATCATACATTTATGCATGTGTAAAGACCTAAGACTGTGACATAAGCAGGTTATAAAAACTGAATTTGTGAAAACCAATATCTCATGAAGTTGTTTGATATTCTATTCTCAGAAAATAAATATATGTGTGGTTCAAGGAATCATAGCATCTCCTTGACTTTATATCCATGTTATTCTAATTCAGAACTTACCACTTATGGAGAATTCACATTAGTTTAAATGTACTGGTATGTGTATTTACATTCTCATAAGCCTCAAAATGAAATGAAACTCGATCTAAATTCTGTATCTACAGCACATGTTCACTATTCCCCCTTTTGACACTTTTATGAGCCAGGGGAATGAGAACACATGGATTCATTAACTTTCAAAATGTCAAAGGGGTCTGAAGCAAAGGGCCACAATCATCACTCACAAACCCCAAAGAAACTTTTCTTTAGTGTGGAGCTCTATCATAATAGATCATCTTGGTTACTCTATCCCTAAACCTATGACAAATCAAGAAAATCATTTCAAAGATGAGTAGAAACCTCATAATCTCTTGAAAATGAATGAAAACTCAGAGGACTGATTCATTTCTCCTCTTAGAGAGAAAGAAAGAACACATTAATTTTGACTCTTTAATCACCTTAATAAAAAAAACACAAGTGTAGTAAGTAAGACAATATACTTCACATATCATGTCCATGCTTCAAACACTACATATTCCTAACATGAATCAGATTTCTTCACTCAATGTTTACAAATTAATTTGGTTCATTTCTAGAAATGATACATCCCAACTCTTTTTCCCCTGTGGTACAGAAATGCATTCACTTCTATGTCAATTCAATCATTAAATCAATGACATAATGACAGGATAAAGATTCATAGACACAATTGCCACACTTAAAATTTAAAAAAAAATTGTCTTACGAAGATGAAATATATTCCAACATTGTACGACATGGGCAGGGCATATATTGACTGAAAATCTTATCCTATATTGCTTGTGACATAATGGAACCAAATTGTTGTTTTCATTATGTTTTACTACTCTTTCCAATTACAGTGGAACCTCATTATAAAGAGCTCCGTTAAAACAAAGTATCTGTTATAAACAAAGTGATTTTCCTGCTCCCAGTTTTTTTACGCTGATATAACAAGGTTATTTCCATGGTACCAAGGACCTTGTTATAACAAGGTTCCACTGCATTGTCTACCATTATTCCGAAATGCACCTGCACAACCCACTTTGACAGATCATTGCACGAGGTGCACCTCACATTTCATCAAGGGATTCCACTCTCCTCAAAAACATCAACAACTTGCCCAGCAGTGAAGAATAGTACCAATGTACAAACATCACAATTTCTGCAAGTTTCAATATTTCAAAGCAAATATTCAATTCCCCCGTTCATTTCACTGTGAAACCACAACAATTGTGCTATCCATACTTCACTTAACTGTGCATGGTCTAAAGAATGAGTCCCCTCAAAGACATTAACATGCAATGGGATGTGCACAAAGCTTTATTCTGACATGAAATCCAAATTTTAAGAATGATAAATGATTGAGGCATTACACAGATTTGACAGTAGAAGAAAATTAAAAAGAGTATTTATTACAAACATCTATCATACATGAGCAGAAATCAATTTTCATTACAAGATTACGATTCCTCGGTCCATTATGATGGGGAGTTCTCACTAGTATGTACCATCACTTCTGCCAATAATACCTTCTTCTTTGCTTTAGAGCCAGAAGGTCTGAAGTGCCTAGGCAGGAAGAACCATCATACGAGGAGCTATACACATTGACATGAGCTTCTTCTTTGCTTTAGAGCCAGAAGGTCTGAAGTGCCTAGGCAGGAAGAACCCCGCCCCCCCCCCACTCAGTGTTATTTAGGGTACGCATATGCTCGTTCCCTCTTTTTGAAAGCACCCCCTATCTGAGGACTGCCAACATTTTCCGAACCCCCCTTTCGCGGGCTTTTTGCGGGCTTTTCCTGCCTTGGAGACCCCCCTAAATCATGAAAGATGCTCAATGTACCCCCCTAAATTCGAAATAATTTCTCA